CATAGTACCTGTTCCAAATCCAAAACCTTCCTTGGGTTTTGGATTTGGATTTTGGGTTTGAGTCTCAGGCATGCTGGTTTCTCATGGCTTCGCATTTGGGTTGACTGACTGCAACATTCCACCAGGAATCCTGGCTCCAAGGTCCCCATGGTTTGAACTTCCAGTTCTAATGGGGTTACCACTAGCACCTGAAATTGAGAAGGACAAATGAAACAGAATAGAAACATAAATACCTCAAGTTATAAGGCCCAAAAAGAGAGAAAGAAGAATGTATCCTTTTTCCCAGTTATGTTCATGGAATCTGCACTGTGGGTCCACAGAGGGCGCACTCTCTGAATGTAGCCGGGAGAGAGAGAGAAAGACAGAGAGAGAGAGACAAAGAGAGACAGAGAGACAGAGAGAGACACACACACAGAGACAGAGAGAGAGACAGAGAGACTGAGAGAGAGACACACACACAGACAGAGACAGAGACAGAGAGACTGTCCTCAGTCTGTCAATTGGAAAGACTTATCTTGTTCTGGCTTCACAGTCAATTGAAGTAGACGACTCCTACCTACCTGGTAGGACAAAGCAGGATATCTCCATAGCAGAGTAGATTAATTCACTGACAGCACAATCTCAGGCGGTGTGAGTGCATGGCAAGGAGATGGCCAGGGTGAATGGTACAATGGTGGGATGGGAGAATATTTTAACCCCTCTGTGTCGAAGTAAGTTAGGTTCATTTTTTCTTAAAAGATATTGGAATCATCCTAATGGCTTAATCCATTGACATCACTTGCTGGTTTTCTGAATATACAACAGACACAAAGAGTTCCAGTTATTCTCAGATACTTAACTGGTAAACCACTATGGGCAACACAGTGATAGGGAGCTTTGTTCTGCTAAATTAACCAGAATGTCCTTGATATACTTGTTGCATATCCTTCTCTTGATATAGCTAAGTAGGTCTCCTTTTGTTAACTGTTGAATGACCTATTAATATCTCATTTCATTTCAATATTGAGCCTGTTACCAGGGGACCAGTTTGAATTATTCCTTGGTTATGACAGATAGGATATGAAGCAAGCTGGAATGGGATGGAATAGTAGAGTTGAGAAGAGGTTATGTTCCAGACAGAGACAGAACTTCTCCTAGGGCTTCTGTCTGATTAAACTCCCTTTAAGAAATGCTGATGATTATAAGGTTCAGTGGAGACACGTTTTATCTCCTCATATTAGAATGTAAGCAGTATATCCACATTTAGTCCTTTATCTTTGTTTATTCATATATACTTTTTTTGTGTTTCTCATAACTCCTGTGTTTGTCTTTCAAAATTTCTATGCAGATCTGCTCTTTTCAATAGGAATATATGATAATCCTTTATTTCATTAAATATCCACTTATTCCCTCATAGTATTATGATAACATTATTTTTAGTAGCAATAAAATATTTATCATCTGAGAAAGCACAGATGAAAGCTGGATTTTTTAAAAAATACATATGCAAAGAACCATGGATTTTCTGAGCCAGACAGACATTTATGTAAATTGCCTTTTGATTACTTTAAAAAATTATTTGTTTCAGTCAGGAAAGTCTTGCCTTTTCATTTCCCCATCTTATTCTCCAATTGAGAACAAAAGAAAAAACAAGACCTATCACAAACACATATAGTCAATCAAAACCAGTTTCCATATTCACCAAGTCCAAAAAAAATTTGTCTGAGTCTTTCAAATCTCCATTAGTGTGTTTTATCATTAGTCCTCTGGAATCATGGTTGATCATTATGCTGATAAGAGTTTCTAATTCTTTCAGAGTTGTTTGTCATTATCATATTGTTATCATTGTAGAAATTGTTCTCATGACTTTGTTCACTTTATTCTACATCAGTTTATACACACCAATCTTCTCAGATTTCTCTGAAACCCTCTCCATAATTTCTTACAGCATAATAATATTTCATCACATTTACATACCATAACTTGTTCAAGCATTTGTCAATTTATGAACATCCCCTCAGATTCCCTTTCTTTGCTACCTCGAAAAGAGCTATCAATATTTTTGTTTCTTTAAGGAGAGAACCAGTGTGTTCTTTCTATTTCCACTTTGCCTTCTGGTCCTAAGAGATTCAAACACCTTTATTTTAAGATTTCTTGAAGTCTCATGTCTAGGCTCTTGTTTTGGTCATGGCTAATGGGCAGTTCAATGATTCTCATTTTTTTTTTCTCCTCTACCTGTTTTCCAGGTCAGTTGTTTTTTGCTATGAAATACCTTACATTTTCTTATTTTTTTTTCAGTCTTTTAACTTTTTTTTAAAAAAATATTTCTTGTTGCCCTGTGGAGTCATTGGCTTCTACTTGGTCCTTTCTAATTTTCAGGGAGTTTGTTTTGTACTTCCTGTGCTAAGCTGTTAATCCCTCTTTCAATTCTTTCTTCCATAGATCTCATTCTTTTCCATTTTTTTCCCTCTAGCACTCTTATTTCATTTATAAAAACATTTTAACTTAAAAAAAAAAACTTTCTTCATTACTTCCAGGAACTGTAATTAAATTTGTGTCCAAGCTGTGTTTTTCTTTGAGGCTTTGCTTGTAAATATTTTTGGAGTCATTCTCTTCTAGGTTTGTGTCCTGAATTTCTCTGCCACCACAGCAGTTTTTATGGTGAGCTTTGTTTGTTTGTTTGTACCTTCAGTCTACTTTGTACTTTATGTTAGGGTCAGGCTCTATGCACTTCTGGAAGGAAGGTCTAGGCTGGTCCTCCTGCCATATTATTAGGGTATTGAGTATGATGCTATCGTAGGATGTCAGGGACAACTCAGGGTGGGGACTTGTAAGCTTTTAGTGCTCCCAAAGTGGTCTGATCTAGGGCAAAATTAGATCAGTGCCCCCATGGCCTCCCCAACACCTCATCCAACTTGGATTTGGATTTAACAACAGTAATAATTTACAGTTGGACTCAGCTGCTATCGGCTATCTGCGAAGCTCTGCTGGTTCAGAGTGACAGAGCTAAAAGCTTCCCTCTAGTCTGAGATTTCTGCTCTTCGGGCCAGTATGAAGCCTGGAGTCTAGATGTGAGACCTGCTTTGTTCCAGGGTTCCAAGCCACTTGTTTATTGCTTGCTTCTGAATTTTCTCCCTGCTTGGTACATAGCACAACATCTGCCATAACTCCTCACCCTAGAATATAACCCCTGGGTACAGGTCCTTTCCTCAGTCTGCTCTGTGTCTGTGATCCGGCACTGGGTAGTGTCTCGTTGTGATTTTTTCCCCTTGAATTTCCTCATCAGTATTGGATCTATTGTGTCTTCTAGATCTGTTTGGAGGAGTTGGGGTGAGGGAGCAGTAGCTCACTCTACCACACTTTGCTGTTCCACCATCTTAGGTCCATACTCTCTCATTCCATCTCACTCTCCACCCCCCCTCCATTCCCACCAATGGCTCTGGTAAAAGTAAATCAAATCAAAACTGCAATTCTACTACTGCCTCTGGAAAAGATGTGGCAGTAGATGCCTAATCATCCCTGTGTTCCCAAACCAAAATACCCTTCTTTGGAAACATCATGTTTACATGTATTGTCTTGATAGGATGTAGCCTCCTTGAACCAGGGATTCTCTCCCAGGTTTTAATATAGTTTTTGGTATACAGTAAAATTTTAATAAATTTTACTAGTTCATCATTCATTCCATATACTATGGTGGCTTGAACACTCTTAATTTTCCTTTATTAATTAAACCCCATCCTACTCAGGTGCTTTGCTTATTTCAGAGTTTACATATTCTGACAGTATTTGAGTATTGCTTCACAAATATTAAATCTTGCCAAAACAACAGTCCTCTTCCAGAGTATCTAAAGGGGCAGCGAGGTGGCTCATGGATAGAGTGCCAGGCCTGGAGTCAGGAAGGCTCATCTTTCTGAGTTCAAATGTGACTTCAGATCCTTCCAAGCCATGTGACCCTAGGTAAGTCACTTCACCATGTTTGTCTGTTTCCTCAACTGTAAAATGAGCTGGAGGAGAAAACGGCAAACCATTCCAGTATCTTGCCAAGAAAACCCCAAATGGGGTCTCAAAGAGTCAGACGACTGAAAAAACGACTGAATAACAAAAGAGTCTCTGAACTCTGGGACATAACAGGAGACAATTAAAGCAAGTCACCTTTATTGAAGATGCAAGGCTTATTACATGGAAAGTGCGTTGCAAATTGGAACATGTCCTACATTCAACCATAAGTTATTGCTATTTTGTGTATCTTTGTGCCACTTTTAAAATTATATATAACTGTCAGAATATGCTATTACCCCACCATTTTTCCCATCTCTTTCCATTTCTCCATATAGTCTTCCCAGAGCTTCATTTTTTCACCTGCTAAAGGAGATGGTTGGACATAATCTTTCCCAGCTCTAAACGAGCACATCAGTAAAAGGTTTCGTACTTGGCTTCATTGTTTTTGCTTAAATGGTTCCGCTATTATTTACAGGAAAAAAAAAATCCTAACATGGATGAATCTGGTGTAGCTATGTCAAAAGAGGAATATTTAAAGGGGCCAGAAATGACTAATAACGCTTCTGACAGAACCCTAGTGAAATAACCCAGAAGTGGAAACTGAGGGAGGGAGCAGGGAACAAGAGCTCCAGTATCTGCGACAAGGAAAGCAGGTTTGCACGCTACAAAGATGCCAAAAGCTCACAAAGGAGCAGCCTGCATAAAAGGGCAAGGCGGCTCGAGCAGTCTGGGACAAAACCAAGGATAGTCCCCGGCGTCAGCTCTCGGACCCCAGCCCAAGCCTCTAACAACCAGGCAGCAAACACACAAATACAGCGACCCGGAGAAGCTCGTGCCTGCCCAACAACTCTCCCAAGCTGGTCAGCTGCTGGATTGTTTTTTAAAACCATACAAATGCACCAATCAGAGGCCGCGTCCCTGGAGTGAGGAAGCGGATTGGCCCGGCCGCGGAGTAGCTGGACCAATGGGCTACAAGATCGCTCCGCGCACGGTTACGCTGGTAAAGATAACTGACGTAGCGGAGGCGGCGCCGGGTTTGAATCTGAGAGTGTTTGCGGGGTAGTGGACGCGGCACCCCAGCTTTCAGGGCCTTTGTTGGAGGTCGGGTAAGGTAAGCACTGGGGCAGACTCTCGCCCTGCGGGGGGAGGGAGGGGTTGTGGAGGTGGTTGCTAGTTTTTTTCTGTAAAGCGACCCCCGGGTCGTGAGAAGGGGTGGTCCCCGCACCCCACGTACTGCACCCTGGGACCTGTAGAGGAGGAGAAATTCTTCGCCATCTCCTTCCCTGCGCCGTGTAATGAAAAAGTCCCTGCTTCTCTCCTCTCCCCTTTAATGAAGGTGTCCCTTCCCTCCCTCCTTCCTCCGCCAACCCCCGTAATGAAGCTGTCCGAGTGCCCCATCCCTCGTGGCAGTGAAGGTATCCCTGCCCCTCCCCCATAATGGGGGTATCCCTACCCCCATAATGACGGTATCTCTCTGCCCTTCCTTCTCCCCCCCCCACCGGGTATTCCTGCCCCAACCGCCTCATTCCCCTCCCCCTCATTAAGAAACCCCTGCCCCTCACCTGGTAAAGAAGGGATCTTTATCCCTGTTGTTCCTTTTTGGTGACAAGGTTATTCCCCTCCCTTACTAACCGATATCACTCCCTCCACCTCCCCCACCCCCCCACTCCACATTGGAGTGAATTTATTGACAATTCCAGAGCCCCATTTCTCAGATTGAACTCTGGCCCTGGTCTTGGCCTGTGGTTTGGAAGGCTTCCTGTACTCTTTGAGAATTTAAAATGGGATTGAGAGTGCCAGATGCAAATCAGACTGTGAAAGGCTTTAAACTTCCAATAAAGGCATTTCTGTTTTATCCTGGAGACAAATAAGGAAGCACTGTAACTTTTTCTTTCCCATGTTCAGTATAAAATTTTATTTTGATGGTGGGGTGAAAAGAGTATTTTGACATATTTTGGGATCTTTTTAAAAATAACAAAATATTTGCTGTTCACAATATCAAATTTTTTTTTAATTTAAAATTAAGCATTTATTTTGTTTTCCTTTTGCCCCTACCCCCAATAAAATAAAAAGGAAAACAAAATCATTGTAACAAATAGAAATGGTCACACATAGTCAAGCAAAACAAATTCCCCCATTGGCCATGTCCACAAATGTTTGTCTCATTCTGCAGCTTGTGTCCGTCATCTCTGTCAAGAAGTTGGTAGTATACTTCATCACTGGCTCAGGAATTGTGTTTGGTCACTACATTGTATCAATCAGAGTTCTTAAGTTTTTCCAAGCTGTTTGTCTTTACAATATTGTTATTTTTGTATAAATCATTTTACTGCATCAGTTCATATTGAGTTTGCAGGTTTCTTTGAAACTACTCCTCTAGATAGGAGAATGGGATGATGGCTGAGGGTTCTGAGAGGAGTAGTTCATTGCAAGAGGCCTCAATTTTTTCATTAAGTAATGGATGAGGCCTTCAGCTGAAAAGGTGGAAGGAGATTGAGCTGTGGACTGGCTTGAGGAGAAGACAATTGAATAGATTATGTGGGGGAGTGAGTAGGGGAATCAATTTAGGCAGGAATAAGGGAAATTGCCTGGTGGCTATCAGTGCCCATTTGGGGTTAGATAAACTCGTAGTGTACGCAGCTTAGTTGCATGACTTGCTTTTGCTCTATTCAGCAGTTTGAGAGTAAATGGAGAGAGTAATAACACAAGGTTTGGATTTGGCAAAGGAAGAGTGACGATAATTAGTGGTTAGCTAATAGTGTTGAGATTGAGGAGAGGTTACTTATTGGTTGTGGGTTTGGGGGATACAAAATGGGCGTGATGGGGATAGGATCTGGACCTCTAAAAGAAAAAGACTGTGTCTTTGAGATCTGGACTCCAAAAAGGAAAAGCTCCTGAAACTTTCCCACACAACCCAGACCCTGAACTCAGATCTCTGGCCTTCACCTGAGGCGTTGCTCATCCCAATAATTCTTTCAACTGTCCTTTGGTTATGACCCCACTCCCAACCCTTTATTCTCTGTTACCTCTGGCCCAGCCCAACCATCCTTTTCTGTTACCTCCAGACCATCCCAGGCTATTTCTATCCCTGAATTCCATCTAGATCATTTCTCTGTTACCTCTAGGTCACCCCAGTCTATTAGCCACTCCTAGATCTCATCCATATCTTCTCACAGTCTTTCTGTATAAAAAGGTCCATCTTGAGCCCCTATTAAGTGGTTCAACTTCTTAAAATCTGGCACCTTTGCTGTTAGCAGCACAAATAGCTCAGATTCTTAAAATCTGACCCTTGTCAATACAAGCATCACAAATGTGCAGATTCTTAAAATTTTGCCCACCCCAATTAATGTTGCCTCTGCCTGAAGAACCTGCACCTTTTGCCCTTGAGTTTTGGGGTTCCCAGCACCTGATTTAGGATGGGTAAGATAAGAGAAGGAGAGATGGAATGGTAAATTCTGGTCAGATAGAGGGATGTCAGTTATTACAGAAGTGGAACACTTGTGGGTAATGGGGAGATTCATAATGCTGTCTGTGTTACTGAGGTAGAATGGAGGAGTAGGTCATTAGATTTGAGGCTATTGAATAACTGAAAGATTAGAGTGTTTGAAGGAGTAACAGTGTGAATGTTGACCTCTCCTGGTATAAGGACTGAAGTTGGGGAGAAGAATCCGAATCGAGTACTAAAATCCTTGACAAAAGAGAATGAGTTGGAGCCTAGGCAACAGCTACCCTGATCTGTATTGGTTGAAAAACTGTAATAGATGGGCATGACCCCAAACAGACAATTTCATATATTTTCTACATGGTAGGAGTAATCCAGGGTTGGGGTTTTGGAATGGGGTGAGCATTTATAAGCCCCAAAGGGCCCTCCTTCAGCCTTTTGCCCCTCTAGCCTAGACCTTAGGTTCCCTACTTATCATCCCTCCTGATCAAAGAGCCACGCCTACTTATCTGTTGGACCTTCCCACCACAGAGCTGTAGTCTCTTCATCTACCATTTATCTTCCTGAGCAACTGTTGTGCCTGACCCCTTCTGATCTCCCTGTTGCTGTTCCTTTTCTCAGGGTCTTTACATACCTTCATCCTCTAAGCTAGAGTGCTTGGGGGGCTTATAGGCACTTAAAGGGCACACAGATAAGAGGGACAAGATCCTAAAGGGCCCTTCCTTAAAGAGTTCCTAGCTTCCTATCCTGAGAATGAGTCATGACTGAAAAGGCTTGATGTGAGTGCCTTCGGTGAACATAACACAGGCATGCACAGATATCATACACCTTCCCTCTGGACACGCTCTTCAAGATACATTCAGACATACATACACACACACAGACATCATACACTCACTGGGAGAGTATAGAGCAGGACACCTGCCTGGGTGCCTGCCCCAGCCTTCCATGGAGGTCCCTGAAGATCTCAAAGTAAAATTGGCTAGTTCTATCAAACTGGAAAGTGGTGAGAGGTCCTTGTATTTTGTGAGTAGGTTAGAATATGAATGTCCACACGTCAATTAGCTGTGAGACTTGATGTCTGTGTGTGGGTAATGACCATGAGATGATCTTAGTGGTACATATATGGCTAAGGAATTGTAAGTGGATTGTTGTTGGTGGTGGTGGGTGTGTGTGTGTTGAGGGCTTTATGGCATATTGTGTTTGGAGAGAATGGGTCACGTGTTCAGGGTGTGGGTATGGTGTGTCTGAGGGGGATGTCAGGGTCACTTTTGTGCCTTTCCATCACTATCCATGATGCCTATTTGGTTTTTTCTTTTTTGTCCCTGCAACCTTCTCCATTACCCCAGGGTCTCTTCCTTCCCTTCCATACCATGTGTATCCTTCATGGGAATGCCTCACTGCTTCTCAAACCCACTTTCCTAGGGCAAGCTCAGGGTTCTGGGATCTGTCTGACCTATAGAAGATGTGTTCTTTAAGGGTGGGGACTCTAATTTTTTTCTTTGTATGTCCGTTGGCTAGTGTAGTACCCGCCACCTGATTGATACTTGTTGAATGATCTAGCAAGGGAGACTTGCTAAAGAGTAGTTAGACAAATTGGAGGTAAACAGCAGCACTGTCATAAAAGTAGTAATGAGAGTACCTAAGATGTCAGAAGAATAACAAAGGAGAAAGACTAGGAAAAGGTTTAATAACTAAGAAATTTTTGGTGGCCTTGGAGAGAACAGTTTCAGTTCAGTGTTGGGTTGAGACACTTTATTGGAAAGGCTTAAGAAATGAGTGGGAGGTGAAGAAATGGAGATGAGGAGTATAGAAAGCTTTGACTATGAATTTGTCTGTGAAAAGGATGAGCAATTTAATTTAGGATGTTAGCTTGAGAGGGAGGGTGGCATGAAATGAAATTTTTTTTTTTTAAGGATAGACTGATCTGGACACGTTTGTAGGGGACAGGGAAGGAACCAGTGTACAAAGAATATTAAAGAGGAGAAAGAGAATGATTTATCTGCCAAGCTCCTGCAAGAGATGGGATCAAGGACAAAACTAGGAGGGATCAGGCCTGATAAGAGGTGCCCACTCTTCATTAGAGACTGGAGCAAAGGAGGAGAGAATGGGGAAGCATGTCAAGGGGTTTGGAGATAGAATTGGAGATCAGAGGGAGGCATCAGGAGAGATGCGTTCCATTTTCTACATAATGTAGTAGGCCAGGTCTTCTGTTAAAGGGTGAGGGTAAGGAAAATGGGAAAGAATTTCACTAAAGAGAGAAGGTAAGGTTTTGAACTGCCACTTTGAGAGGCGTTCTTCAGCAGCCTGCAGTAGAATAGGAAAGGGGAAGCTGAATGGGGTTGGGGGTGAGGTAACACAGGCCTGAGTGGTGAGAGACAGGACAAAGGAGTAAGGATTTGATGGAGTTGAAATGGCTAATTATATGGTTAAGATTTCAAAGTGAAGAAGGTTTGATGAACTTGGGAGAGCAGGGAGGAGGGTGTGGAGTGACTGGAGTTCTGGTAAGTAGGAAGAAGTGGGTTAGAGGGAGTGAGGGTGAGTGAGAGGATAGGAAGTTGTAGTTGGAGAGAGGTTTATTCTAGAGTTCTAGATCATAAAGCCTCAAACAACATTTAAGTGTGATAATGAGATCCAAGGTGCAACCTATCCTTTTGTAGAGGCTGAGGTTGAGTGAAGGTATAGATCAGGAGAGGTGAAGAAGCGTCTGTGTTTGAGCAATGTCAAAATAGTCTCTCTCTCTCCCTCTCCCCCCCCCTCCCCCATCCCCCATAGAGATGTAGACATATCTCTATTTCTGTCTTTCTCTATAGACATAGACAGATATGTAGGTATATCTGTATGTTTATCTCTCCCTCTCTATATCAAGTTTTGGATGGAGAGGAAGACTGAGCCTGATGCTGAACTTCTTGAGAAAAGAGGAAGAATGGGAGCTGCTAGGTAACAACAACCATGTTTGGACAGACTTTATTGAATCTCAAAGGAGAGGTTTTGGAGTGGTGGGGGGAGGGAGTAGGAGGCAGGAGGGCTAGAGTTCTCTAAGTATTTGAAAGCTAGAACAGGTTTCCAGAAGGCACAATGGAAGGGGAGGGCAGAGCAGGACATAGGAACTATGGAGGGTGAAGATATAGATAATTGGGGATGAGGCAGTGGGAAGTGGTAGCAGAAAAGGTTTTGTTTTTTTTTTTCTTTTGCTTAAGTGTCTTGGAGATTTAAAGAAGAGAAGGAAGTTTACTAGCTAGAAGATGATTGATTTTCTTTCTCTTCCCAATTAGCAACAGTAGCTCTGCTCTAGGGAAAGGATAACTCCATTAAAAAGAGGGATGATAATACTTTGGTTGTCTGGCTCACCAGGTGGTTGTGAGGAAAGAGCTTTGCAATCTGAAAGCTCTTATGAAAGTGAGTTGTTATTATGGAAATGGTGATGAAGCCTGAATCCTTGACTGCTCCTGGCATTTCCATATCCCTGACCTAGCTCATATTCCCTGGTTCCTAAAAATGGCTAATCTTGTAAATAATAAATTTGTATTACCTGTGACTTTTGCTTTTTTTAAAGTTACCCTATTTATAGGATCCTAGCAATTTTGGGCATTATAAATTATTTGAGAAATGTTGAAGTTTTTGGGTGCCAATGATAGCATCTCATTTGGACAGACAAACTTGGTTTCAATGTTGCAAGATAGCTAAGGTAATTGGGCAGAGAAGCTTTTGAACATCACTTTAAGAAGGTTACTTTGGGAGAAGAGGGCAAGATAGAGCTATAAGTAGCTGAGTGACCTCTTTGTAAAGTAGTTGAGATAAAATAGATTATTCTATGGTCAGCTAAACCTCTCTTTTTAAGGATTTGATACTTAATGAATGAGCTTGGTCCTTTGTTGTCTCATTTCTTGTGAGTTTTGGTCCTTTCGTTACTTAAAAAAAAAAAAAAAGACTTTTAAAATTGTCTACATTCTGTTTAGTCCCTACAGATACCCAAATAAACCTCACTGCAAAGTACAGAAGGAAGGTGTGTGGATTTTAATTTTTACAGAATAGTGCTAACATTGATTGCTTTATTTAAACAGTTTTTTTCCCTCTCCATATTGACTTTATTAACAATATTTTTTGGCTCTACTTTCTTCACTCTTTATTATTTCACACAAGTAATCTCATGTTTCTTTGATTACTCTTGGTCCTTCTTTACAGTGAAGTATTGGAATTTGAGAGTTAGAGTTGAACTCAGTGGAGGACTAGTCTAACACAAGAGTAATCCCTACTATAACATGCTGGATAAATTATCATTTATCCTCTACTAGAAGACCTCCAAGGAAGTTAAACCTACTAGCTTTCTAGGTAGCATATTCCACTTATGCAGAACTCTACATTGTTAGAAATTCTTTTCATGACATCAAGACTAAATTTGTCTTTCTGCTACTTTCCCCCTTTGCTTCTCATACTGCCGTCCCAAGCTAAACAGAATAAATCTAATCCTTTTTTTACATGACAACTTTTCAGATACTTGAAGGAAACTGTAACGTCTCCCATTGAGTCTTATCTTTTCTAGGCTAAACATGTCTAGTTCCTTCAACCTATTCTCTCATGTCATGGACTCAAGGCCCTTTACCATCCTGGTTATCTTTCTCTGGACGTTCTCCAGCGTATCAATGTTCTTCCTAAACTTTTGTGCTTTGAACTGAAGGTAATGCTTTGGGTGATGAGCTCTGATGAGGACAGAGTACAATGGGATTGTACCTCCCTATTTCTAGAGTCCTCTTTATCAGGCCCAAGATCGCATTAGCTTTTTTGACTGCTACATCGCACTGCTGACATTCAGCTTGTAGTCCAAAACTCCTAAGTCTTTTTCAGAGCAACTGCTGTCTATCTATACTTCCCTCATCCTTTACTCATGAAGCTAATTTTTGTGTCTAATTGTATTATTAGATTCAGCCTAATAATTTTCTCACCTGTCAAGATCTTTTTTGGATTCTGACTCATTCACTGTCTTAGCTATACCATCCAGTTCTGTGTCAACAAATTTATTGAGCACCATCTAGCCCTTTATTCAGTTCATTTAGAATATTATTAAACAGTTCAGGGCCAATTACAGATACTGAGGTTCTTTTTCAGAGATCTTCTTTAATGTTGACAGTGTACCATTAACAACAACTGTGGCCAGTCGTTCAACCAGTTCTGAATCCATCTGATTATATTCTTCTCTATATATTTTATATACCTTTCACACAGGCAGGTTTTACGAAATCTTGGTAATTTATGTCTGTATCATGGAGTAATCCTCTCAAAAGAGAAAATGAAGTTAGTCTATCATAACCTGTTCTTGATGAAGTCATACTGGCTATTTATATTCACTGCTTTCTTTCACCATTTCTAGAATTATTCTAGAAATTTCCTTGGAATCAGAGCTAACCTCACTGGCATATAGTTTGCAGACTCTGTCACTTCCTTTTTTTGAAAACTGGGACATTTGTCTTTTTTCAGTCTTTTGGTACATCCCTTATTTTCCATGATCTTTCAAGATATTGATAGTGGCCCAGCAATCCCTTTTGCCAGTTCTTTAGTACCCGAGGATGTAAGTTGCCTGGGCCAGGTGACTTGAATTCATCAAGGGAAGCATCAAGGTGCTGTCTTACTGTCTTCATTATCTTGGGCATCACTTCCTTGATAATCATTTGTGTACTTTTCATTTCTGTATTTCTAGGCCATTCTTGGCAGAGAAATCAAAGCAACAAAGAATTGAATCTTTCTTTTCTCTCTTGTTGGTATCATGATTCTGTTCACCCTAAGCAAAGATTCCGTCTCTTTATTTTTCATTTTTCCCCTTGTATAGCTAACTTCCCTCTCTTCCTTTTTTTTTTTTTTCTGTTGTTGCTGCTGTTGTCCTTCGCTTCCCTCACCAGCCTTGGCTTATTCTGAGTTTTAGCATTTCTGATGCTATATTTCTAGGACTGTGACATGATCTTGTATACACAATCTCTGTTCTCTGGCCTTCCTTCTGTCTTCCGTACATTTCTTTTAAATAAATCTTAATGGGTTGTTGCATTCCCCGTGGATCCACATTTGTCTCTCCAGACAAATGCTATTTTTCTCCCTTGGAATTATTTCCTTTTCTATCTTTAGGGCAATAATATTCTATTACGTTTACGTACCATAATTTGTTCAGGCATCTTAGGTCTAGAATTGGAAGGGACTTCAGTGGCCAACTAATCCAACCCCTTAATTTTATAGATGAGGAAATTGAAGTCAAGGGAGGGTAAGTGACTTGTCTTGGAGTCCCAGAGGTGTGGTAGTATTTGAGGTGGAATTTGAACAATTTAGCACCTTTTCTTTCACAATTCCAAATTTTTCTAGAATGTTTGATCCAGTTTACAGCTCCTCAGCAGTGAATTGCGGTGCTATAGCAGTCTTATTAGCTCTCTCGACATGAGTTTTCCCATCTTTTAGAACAGTATGAGGTGTTACCTCAGGATAATTTTTATTTTGCATTTCTATCATTATTGGCTTTCACTGCTTCTTAACACAAACAGCACGGGAGGGGGGGGGCTCTTTAGCCACTTGTTAGTTTTGATAATGATGCTAGAAAGAACTTAAATCCTCAGGTTCTAGAGGTGTGAATGAAGTTTTAGAGTTATCTAGATCTTATTCAACTAAACCAAGCCATATACTTTTTTGCCGTAGATAATAAGCTTGAAGTCATTGTTACCTTTTCTATCGTAATAGCTTCGTTGTCATGTACCTCAAATAAAGGATCAGAATATTTTTATCTCTATTACCCCTCACACCCTCCCCCCCACAAGAAAAAAAGATTATGGTCATTATAGTGAGGTATGAAGTGACCGAGAGGGATTTAGATCAACTTGGAGTACAAACTGCTGACATATATACAGAGGAAAACACTCACCTGCCATTGGGAACATGTATAGCCTTGATGTTTGCTTCAGAACAGTAATAGCACATATTCTGAAAAACCAAATTTCTTCCTATAGTAATAAATGTATAACACTATATGTAACACTAAATACCTTGCATCATAAGCAATGGAAGAGTAGAAAACTATATTAGAAGACAAAATTAAGATGTAAAAAAAGACATAGCTGGAAGAAGCAGGGACAAAAAAGGAGCTATTACTAACTTGTCATTGTACCCTACCTAAGTGTCTCTGTTCAAAATTATTGTTGATTTAGTGGAAAGAGAAAAATAGCTCTAGGTCAGTAACTAGAATCCCATAGCCAGGTGAGTTGGATATTTTCTGCCCGAGACATAACATTTAAATGCCTGCTCTGTGTATTCTGTGCTAGCTGGACGTTACTTTTAACTTACCTCTACAGAACTTGGATGTGAACAGATTGTTTAGTCTCTGAGACTGAATTCCTTTTTTATTTTTATTTATTTTTATCATTTTTTCCCCCTTAATATCACAGGAGTGATGATTGGATTCTTCTTTTCAACTTATTTTTAAATATTGATTGAGTAATAAACAAGATAGAACAAAATGAGTTGGGCTTTAGAGGAATGGAAAGAAGGTCTGTCTACCAGAGCCCTTCAAAAAATTCAAGATCTTGAAGGACAGCTAGACAAACTAAAGAAAGAAAGACAACAAAGACAATTTCAGCTGGAATCCCTGGAGGCTGCCTTGCAAAAACAGAAGCAGAAGGTAATATATGATTGATTTAGGTATCACTGGGAGAGGGGCAAGTATTATAATTTCTTGCTTACATTTTAATTTTCATTGTATAAATGAAAATACTTGTATAAATGATGAGTCATTCTATTGTCTAATATTTTGAGGAAAATGTTTTTGTTACTTTATTATAGGTCACTTACTGTTTTTTTTTAATCTTTTAATTTTTTTCTTCTTCAATTCTAAATCCCTTAGCTTTCTGATGTTGGGAGTTCCTGAGTCCCATTCAGTCTTCTTCTCAAGAGCTTATTTTGGGAAGTATTCCAGAAGTCTTAACTAATAGTACAGAAGTTTCTGGCTTAGACTCTAATATGGCAAATCAGTGTTAACAGATAGTGGAAAGGGAGGTGGCATTTCTCTTTCTCAAGTAGATTGGGTGGTATCTTAGATTTTCACCTTGGAATAGTTAAAAACAAACAAAATAACTTAGGGTTTGAAAATGAAAGTATGATTTGTATAATCTCCTAATTGTGTACTAGGTCTAATTGGTAACACAATTATTTTGATTGCCAACTAGAAGCAAATATATTTTTAAATTTGTGACCAAAAATGTACTTGCCAAGTAATTATGTATTGTTCTAAAATTATATATATTAATGTGTCTCCTCATTTTTTATGTACCAGAAGCAATTTTCTGCTTTTGCATGATGTCTTTTTATTTCCATGGCACTAGGAGAATGTGCTCACAGGGCTGTTGAACATTGGAATAGTTTTCTTAAGAAGGTTTGGAGGAGGTTTCCTTTTACTGAAGAATTTAAAAAATATAATGCAGTCTCATTTATCTGTCATAGTATAGGTGCAGTCCTGCCTGAAGTCACCAGCTATGCCTGGATGATCTTCTTAAATCTTTAACGAAAAAAAAAATTTTAGGATTCAAAACATGTTAATCTGAAAGTCTCCTTAATTCAAAGAAAAAGAAAACCTGAATTATTAATAAAATACCTTAGTAGTAATTTTTTTTAGTGTTTGTCACTTTACTAGATTATAAGTTCCAAAAGTAGAAAACTAGTGACTTGTGCATATAAGACACTTAAATTTTTGTTCAGTGTGTTACTTATTGACTGATGAATGCTTTAACTTTGGTAGCAAGTTTGGTTAATTTAGAAAGAAGTTCTTTATTTTAAATTCCTATAAATATTTGACAATTTTAATTAGGTTGACGATCAGAAAAATGAAGGGGCCACCCTCAAAAGGGAGAATCAGAGCTTGATGGAAACATGTGATAATTTGGAGAAAATGAGGCAGAAGATTTCTCATGAGCTTCAAGTTAAAGAGTCACAAGTGAATTTCCAGGAAGGACAGCTAAATTCAAGCAAAAAGCAAATAGAAAAACTGGAACAGGAACTTAAAAGGTAACTCTTTTGATGGGTGTTTTAGAAAGTTGTTGCAGCTTTTTAATTTTAATTAAATTCGTTGTAGTTTTAAATTTTTTTGTGGAAGCTAGACTTTTAATTTAAAAGGAATCTAATAATAAACTATTAATTTAATAAGGTATTAAAGTTGTAAAACTACTTTAAGAATTTTGGCACACCCTTTATTTTGGAAATCTGTTGTGTTATGGTTTATTACAAAGATTGGGTCAATTGAGAAGTATCATGGTGCAGGTATTTGTGCAGGATTTGAAATCAGACTCCCTAGGTTCTAACTCTAGCTTTCAAACTTATTGTCTGTGCAGCTCACAATCTCTGTCTTTAGTTTCCTCACCTATGAAATGACAAGGGTTAGACTTGACTTCCAAAGTCTTTTCCATCTGTAATCTATAAACCTGTAAGGCCTAGCCTCAGATCTTGACTGGGCTGTTTACCTGAGTGACGACCTTTCTAGGGTTGGATTTTAAGATCGTAGAAATCTTGCAGTCTAAATTCCTCATTTTGCATATGAGGAAACTGGCCCAGGGAGACCTGGACAAGTCACTTTATGTCTCTGGGCCTTAGTTTCATCATCTATAAAATGAAAGGGTTGAATTAAATGGACTTTGTATCCTAAGTCGATGTTACTGTGATGACTAAATAAGTTAGGATCAGACATCAAAGGATCCTAAATTTTTGATTATCTGACTCCAAATCCAGTGTTCCTTCCATAGTACCACTTGTGTGGCATAATTAATTCCTTTGGTACTTTCCAGCTCTCTACTGCTGAGGTACCTAGGTGGCAAAATGAATAGAGCGTTGCACCTAGAGTTGGGAATACCTGAGTTCAAATTCTGCTCAGACATGCATTAGCTTTATGGTCCTGGACAGATCACTTAACCTTGATCTGACTCAGTTTCATCATCTGTAAAATGGGGATAGTAGTAAATCTATCTCCCAAGGTTGTTGTGAGGATAAAATGAGATAATGTTTGCAAAGTGCTTTGCAAACCCTAAAGTGCTATATACATGTTAGCTGTTTTTCTATAAGTATTACACTGAGCCAAACCTTGATATAAAGTATATGTACATTAAAAGTATGTATCTGTCCTGTTGTGCAGCACCAGTTTTAGGAAAGTAATTATTTTGTTTAGTTAACCAAATATTAATCTTGGAAAGAGTTTTAGTATTTGACATTTGCTCTTATTACTAGTTTTTCATTACAAAAATTCGGGGGGTCTATATTCCTTATAATAGCTCACGATGTATGTAACAAACAGTATGCTAATGGGGCCAGATTGGACTGGTTGGACTTGCAAATGATGATCCAGGTACTTTTTGTTGTCCCCTCCCCCCAGCAAAATGGATTCTTGTCAAAATAAGAAGCAATCACAGGAACTGAAGTACTGCTTTAACCGATTCTCCCAAATTTAAACCTGGTAATTTTTATAAGTATTATCTGACAGTTACCTTTTCCCTCCCTCTATTCTCTCTTTCCTCTCACCTTTAACCTCTCTCTGTTTACTGGTTCTTTCCCTGTTGCCTTCAAACATGCCCGAGTCTTTCTTCATCCCTAAGAAACCTGCCATAGGCTCAACCATCCCCTCAAGTGAGTCCAGACTTTGATAATGTTGTTGCTCTTTGAGAATCCATTTTTTCAGTCTAAGGTGAAGAAGTGGTATAATGTTACAATATCCATCACTTTTCTTTGCAAAGAAGATGCTAGTGTCATTCTTAAGATTTTCTGTGTCAGTGGGAAGTTTTTGTGTTAATTTGCCGTGTTTCCAGCAGTTCTGTTTCCTTTCTTTTCTATTTTCTGTCCAACCAGTTATCATAGACCAAATGTGGGGCCTTTATTGGGAAAGTAGTAACAATAGTAAAAATTAGCAGTGATTTCTTTCTTCAGTGTGAGTAACTAGAATTAGATAAAGTTAAACCATGGGCTAGATCTGAAGCGGAGACTGGTTATTCTCCACTCCTGTCCTAATAGGTTTATATTGATCTCAAGTTGCTTTATTGTCTTATCTCCTTGATAGTAAGAGGTTTGTATTCCCTGTGCCTGACACATAGATAGTAGGTACTTATAAATGTGAATCTATGGATTTGATTGCCTGAGTACCTTGTAATACTAATTGGTTCTTTGAGAATGAAGAGCCTTCTAGGTTAATTTGTTGTTATTGTTCAGTCTTATGTAACTTTTGGTGCCCCCATTTGGGTTTTCTTGACAGAGAAATTGGAGTGGTTTGCCATTTCCTTCTTCAGCTCATTTTACAGATGAAACTGAGGCAAAGAAGGTTAAGTGACTAGTGCAGGGTCACACAGCTAGTAAGTGTTTGAGGCCATATTTGAGTTCAGAAAGACAGTTTGCCTGACTCCGGGTCCAGCATTCTATCCATTGCATCACCTAGCTGCCCAGGTTAATGTTATTTATGTAATATTCAAATAATATATTCCTTTTTCTTTTCATGGTCTTATAAATGTTGCGGTGTAATTTTGTTGGTATTTTAAAAATAATAACAAAATGTCGGACATTATGTTGGTTTTTTCAGTTTGTGTTTTGGAATAGTCAAATGTAATTTGTAATATCAAAATTTTTTAGGTTTCAGTCTTTTAGATGATGTATAGGTAATTAGAAATGTATCGTTTCTGTAATTCATCTGTTGTTTTCTATAATTAGAGCACATTTCAAAATTCCTTTTCTAACAGATGTAAATCCGAACTTGAGAGAAGCCAACTGGCAGTGTTGCCCGGAGATGTCTCGACACTAAACAGTACACCACAGAAGAGTTCTGCTGCTTCTGTACAGTCAAGTCACCAAAGTGGTATGGAATTGATACTTGGGTTGTAAGAGCTTAGTGCAAGAGCCTCAGACAAAAGATAGAGTGTGAGAAATGTACTAGAATTCCAGCATGCAATCCTACCTGAGGTTTTCTTTCCTTACTTTCCTCCATAATAGGACGTAACTTAGAGTTACTGGACTCTTAGCTCTACTTCTCTTAGTGTCTTCATCTGCGTGTGTGCGTGCATGTGTGTATGTGTGTATGAGAGAGACTGAGCACATGTGTATGTGCATCAGATTTTCAGTAGGCCTTTTTTTCCCCCTTCTACCCTTCTCTATTTGTCCTGTCTAGCTTCCAGAAATCCCACATTTTACCCATCTGGACCATACATGTAAACAAGCTCTTCTTTCTCTTGAGCTGTTTTGTTTCTGTCTTTCTGTCTCTAGGGCTTAGTATAGTATCTGGCAAATATAGTATCAAGGAAAAGCATAATAAATGGTTTTTGAATTGAACTAAGGGAAAATGACCAAAAAAAAAAAAAAAAAGAATTTGTGTAACAGGTTGGAGGATCTTGGTTGGGACAACTAACCTGTTCTTGCTCATATCTAAATTATCTCTTCATGTTCAGCTGTTATGCTCATTTTAGAGAAGAAGCTAGTCTCTAATTACTCCCTTCTAAGGGCCAATTCTCGCTTCTGTTATTTTCCAGGTCAAAGCTCTTGTCCTTATTGTCTTTGCTACCAGTTTTTGGGATCAGAGTGCATGTAGGCCATATTATTTTTTAGCCCATTTGAATAATTGGGAAAGACTGACATCCCTTGGGTTCTATAAAAACATTTCACATCCATCTTAGCCCAGTTACCATCTCTAAGCACTTCTCTCTGCTCAGTTTGAGTTATGGTTCACATTTCCCATCCTGTTACCTCCCCTTCTCCTAGGTGTCTATCCAGAGTCCCCACAATTTTACAACACATATACAGCAATAACAAAATGTCTTTTCCAGCAACATTTTGAGAATGATCATTTCATCACAATTTCCTCCAGCTTAGAAAAGCAATGTACAGAAATTGTTGATTGAATGATTTAGTTTGAGTATATTTGCTTTTCTGTGTTCAGCACAAGATATTTCTCCAAACTTTAGCAAGCAGGTGTTTTAGAGACCTATTCCTATAGCTCATATTTTTTTCTCCTGCAATGGCTTCCAGAAAAAAAACAAAGCAACAAAAACAAAAACCTATCCTCCTTCCAAATGAAAAACATTTCTCATCTGTAATACATGTTTTACAAGCAGCTGCTTTGTAAATCTGTCCTCACAAGTAATTATTGGCAGTGTACAATCTCATACTTAAGCATCTGTATCCACAAATTAAACAGAAGAAGATAGTTTGTTAATTCAAGTTTACTTAGGGAAAAGGAATAAATATTTATATAGTGCCACTATGTGCCAGGCCCTGCTTGCTGAGCAATTTTTACAAATATTATCTCCTTTGATCCTCACAACAACTCTGTGAGGTAAGTGTTATTATTGTCTTAGTTTTATAGTTGAAAAAACTGAGGCAAACAGTTAGTACATGACTCGCTCAGGGTTACACAGTAAGTATATGAGACCAGAGTTAAAGTCAGCTCTTCTCACTGTAGGCTCCAGTGCTCCATCCGTTGTACCACCAGCTGCTTCTATTTATTTATTTATTTATTTTTGGTTTTGTTTTTGTTTTTAGGCAATTGGGGTTAAGTGACTTGCCCAGGGTCACACAGCTAATAAGTGTCAAGTGTTTAGTCTGAGACCACATTTGAACTCAGGTCCTCCTGACTTCAGCGCCAGTGCTCTATCCATTGCACCACCTAGCTGCCCCAGCTGCTTCTGTTTATACTCTTTACCCTTTTCCCTGAAAGGAAGGATGTGAAAACACTGAAGTAAAAGTCTTAGATTTTAGGTCAGAGCACTTCACTAACTTAATTTCGAAGTAAAAAAAAGAATGAGAAAACCTGCAGTTTTAAAAAGAACAGGTCTCTTTTTCTAATTCCAAGTTTTCTTTCTAGGGTGAACGAGGTTTGTGAAAATGTAGTGGCAAGATCCTTGAATAGGAATTTGTGAGACCCTAATCCCAGTCCTTACTCTGACAGTAGTAATTAGCTGTATAATCTTGAAAAGTGCATTTTCAGGGGCAGCTAGGTGGCACAGCGGATAAAGCTCTGGCCTTGGAGTCAGAAGGACCTGAGTTCAAATCTGACTTCAGACGCTTGAAACTTACTAGCTTGTGTGACCCTGGGCAAGTCACTTAACCCTGATTGCCTCATTCAAAAAAAAAAGTGCATTTTCAGTTTATTTTTTTAACCTCATATATTTAAATGGATAACACTGAATATAATTGTTTATAAAAGATTAAACTAGGTCTTGTTATGAAATTAAAAATTGAGATCTGACCTCTAATCTTAACATTGTATGTCTTTAGAAAGGAATTTTGATATTTTCTGCGTGCAGCCCTTGAGAAGTTTTTCTGAAACCTTTGTTCATAGTATCTTTCTATATATTTTTAAAGTACTTTTGAGTAATTTAATAGTTTTCTTGTCATGACAAAATCATTTTGTTTTCATTTGGAATTTGAAGTGTTAGTTTTTTGATTCTCAAGTATTGGGATGGATACTTGATGGATTTTACTTTGAACTGAAATGCTATTCCTGAAATTAGTTGTGTTCCACACCTGTTTTTAGCTTCCAGGTACGAAGAACTGCAGGAAAAATACAGTAAAGAAGTTGAAGAACGAAAAAGGTTAGAGGAAGAAGTAAAAGCTTTACAAATTAAAGTAAGTGAATTCTTTGAAATACATAACTCAAAAAACCTGTTTTGTTATAGTTTAGTATAAGATTAGAATGTATTTTCCCCCAGTTGTTGACAGATTTTTATTTACTTAGAAAAGTAAGTTACTTGCTATTGGTCATATACATTATTTTACATGAAAAATGGGAATTATTTAAGAGTCAGATGCAAAATAAGAAATTAAGGGTAATAACAGGAATGGTTAGTCTTTATCCCCACATATAAATCCTAATGGAAACATTAAAAAAAACCCCAGAGTTTAGTTTACATACTTATATTCAACTCTGGAGCTATTTTTCTAGACAGTGAGATGTAACAAATGGAAGAATGCTCGGGAAGGCCGAGCTCTCACTGGCTTGATTTGTTGGCTTGAGCAGGTTGCTTCACGTGTTTTGTTACTTGTAGAAAGTGTTCTTCACATTTATTTCAGGCATATTGCTTTCTTATAATGCCTCTTCCATTTTATATTTGTGAATTTGATTTTTTTTTTTAAACCGAAGATTTTATGCTAGCCTACTGAAATCTTTTTGGGTCTTGACTTTGTTGTCCAATGTGCCAGTTTTGTATAATCTCAAGATCTGACAGGTATACTGTCTATGCTTCTATCCAGTTCATTGATAAAATTCTTGAGCATAACAGAGCCAAACACAGATTACTGGGGTACTCTGCTGAGACCTCCTGCCAAGTTGACATTGAATCATTAGTGACTACTACTTGGCAGTTCCAAATCTGGCTAATTATATTATCGTCTTGCCAGCATCTTCCATCTTTTCCATAAGAATGGTATGAAAAACATTGTCAAATGCTTTCCTAAAATTGAGGTAAAATATATTTACAGCATTCTTCTGATTTGCCAGTTTTGTAACCCTGTCAAAAAAGGCAACAAATTAGTTTGGCATAACCTGCTCTTGATGAAGCTATCTTGGTTCTTTGTAATTGCCTCTTTCCTAGATGTTCACCACCCATCTCTTTATTGATCCCTTGTAGAATTTCCTTGAGGGAGACTATGGAGATTCTTAACATTTTTTGTCTTTGGTTCCTTTGCCTGTCTGGTGGTGAAGCCTACAGACTTCTCAGCATAATTTTTTTTAAATGTGTAAGATAAAATATATGAGATTACAGTGGAAAACAGTTATATCAAAATATAGTTATCGAAAAAAAACCAAAACAAATTCCTGGAGTGTAGGTTAGAAACTTTAGGTAGTTCAGAATTGTAGATTCTCTCTTTTTTTGAAGGTTGGTATTCTTGTCGTTTCCAAGTACCTTTCCTATTTTCCATTATCTTTCAGATATCAGCAATAGTGGGTTAACAGTCACGTACATCTCTGCCAGTTTTTTCAATACCAGGGAATTTAGTTCACTCAAGTCAGAGAAGTTAAATTCATCAAGGGCATCTAAATGTTCTCACTTACTTTGTGTACCAAGATTCCTTTTTAGCCATTTTCATTCTCTTTTTCAGTGCATGGTCATTCTACTTGACAGACAAAAAACAGAATGAAAATTTAAAATTGATCATTTCTAGTTCTGCCTTTTCCCTGTTGTCATTTCACAGTTTTTTCCCCCTGCGATGGGTCTACCCTTTCTGCTGGGCCTCTTTTTTCCCCTCTTAGCATAGCTAACAAACACTTCTTTATTGCCTATCATTGTCACCTTCACCCCATTCTGAGCTTTATCAGTTCTGACACCGACAGCCAGGTGCCAAACTTAGTCTCTTGCATATATGAATTAATAAATGAAAAGTATTTATTAATAAATGCTTACAGTGCACTAAGTAGCTTATTAAATGCTGGGGAAGCAAATATAAAAAGCATGGTGGGCCTCACTGTTAAGGAGCTAGGGGAAGACAGTATAAAGTCAAGTTATGGCTGGGGAAGGATGTTGTGACCAGAGGATTCACAGGTGGAATGAATTGATTCATAGGACAATTGATTAACCATATCATTTCCAAGAGTTTGGAAAGTGGGAGGGGGTTAGTGGTGACATTTTAAGTTGTAATAGTGTCAGAAGATGATCTGAGTACATTAGGGTCTGGGGGGGTGCCCAGATATGGTGAACTTTCACCAGCTATGAACACGAGTCTCCGTGATCGGAGCTGGAGTTGTGAGTCTGAGAAGGAGGGTGACATGGCACGAAGATAGCTGTGGGTGCATCATAGTGGGTCTGCAAGTACAGAGATATGAGCAGCCCAATGACACAGGTACTCAGGGCCCCAGGGTGGAGGGGGAAGGTGGATTGCAGCAACGTGGCAGGAATGTGACTCGTACATGGTGGATAATTCTTAAGCTTTCACTTAGATCTAATTAATCTGTTTAATGAAGGGGGAACTTACTGTATCTGTGCTATATTATATCTTAAGTTGGAAACTATAATGCACACAAATATTTCCTTTCCAGAGGAAATTAAGGAGGGTCTTATCTATTACCATTTGGCCTATCTTATTCTGACAAAGCAAGTCTTTGTAATTGTCAGCTCTGCCAAACCACAGGTTTGCTCCAAGATAACTGGACATAAGGCTATTGTCCATCTCTTTCCACTATAGAATGAGAATCATGTCTTGTGTAGAAGTGAATGTCTCTCTTACTTACTCCCATGTATATCCTCCTTATATCCTCCTTATATTTCTTGGTCAGCTCTGTTGTCCCAAATCTTTCTCTTTTCATTTGCTGGCACTGTGCACCCAGGGGCGGTGAGTGCTCTTGATCCATCCGTTCTCCCCACTTTTGAGGGCTCATAGAGGCCTCACTTTATAGTTGTGATATAGCCCCCTACATGTATATGATTATATAAATATATCAGAGTGCCCATTACTGCCTTGGGATTTACTTCCAAAAGGAATGATTATCCAGCTATATAATAAACTTTGATTAACCTATCTGTTAACAAGAGTGTGATCTTTTATGTGACATGATACTGTTACTTGATCTCATTGCATCATCTGTCTGTATTTTGAAAATTAAGTTGTTTGATGAGTTCCTTGTGCATTATACCTTGGTCTGATTGGATGCAACTTAATTGTGCTTTATAGATGTTTCTCTCCCAAATATTGAAATGCTGATACAGGTTCATCTGTAGAAAAGAAAGTCGATGTTGATATTTTTGATTCTTAATGGTAATTTAAACCTGGTTGTTTAAGAAATCTGCTAATACATCAGTGGTTGTGACTGTTATTTAAAGATAAGCAGCCTTGAATATGGAGACTTTTTAAAAGAAGTCTTTAGCTGTTTTTTATTATCTTTTCGTAGAAAGCAAGTAAGACAGTTCTCCCAAACACCATGAGTCATAGGGAAATTGCTCGGCATCAGTCTTCTTCATCAGTGTTCTCATGGCAACAAGAAAAGACACCTACTCATTCAGCTAATGCTCAAGAAACTCCCTTTAGGAGAGGTCTTACTGCCTTACACATTCCTTGGGAACAAGAAACAACACCTAATAGGATGTCAAGTTGGCAAACGGAGAAGAAAGATACTAATTGTAGTTTCCATGAGAACCAGAGTAATCCTCACCTACTGGATCAGATAAAAGCTCAGAATCAAGGTAATTATTAAATTTTTAAAGTTTAACTTGCAACATGAGTCTTGGAAAACTTTTAAAAGTGATTCTAGAAGTACTTTACTAGAAGTATCAAAAAGTTTCAAGTGTTAGAATGGGCCTGAGACATAACCTTTAAAGTTGGGAATAACATCCCTTCATTTAGTAGATGAGGAAACTGACATGGAATGAAGTGATCTTTCTTTCCCACTTGTTAATGGTAGAGTTGGGATTAGACTTCAGGTCTCCTCTGACTCCTAGCCAGTAAAATTTTCACTCTACAGTATATCCTGTTATTACTTTGGAGAGCTTGATAACATTTTATTTTTTGAACTTTTAATTTTTTTTTCAAGTAACAAGCATTTTCTCTTTCTCTCACCTACTACTCCCACATTTGACAAAAGAAAAAAACAGAATCCTTGTAACAAATATGCATAGTCAAGCAAAACAGATTCCCTCATTGGCCATGTCCAAAAATAAACATCTCATTTTGATTTTTGAATCTATCACATCTGTTAGGACATTTGGGTAGGATACTTTATCACTGGGCCTCTGTAATTGTGATTGGTCATTGCATTATTTAGAGTTCCTAAGTCTTTCACATCTGTTCTTTGCAGTGTTTTTGTTTTTGATCAGTTGTTCTCCTGATTCTACTTGCCCCATTACATCAATTCATATAAATCTTTCCAGGTTCTTCTGAAATTCTCCCTTTAATCATTTGTTTTGGCACAGTATTATTCTATTAACTTACTATAATTTGTGCAGCCATCCTCCAGTTGATGGGCACCACTTTAATTCCTAGTTCTTTGTCACCACAAAAAGAGGTGCTACAAATATTTGTGTACATATCCGTTCCTTTTCATTTTTCTTTGGGGCATTGGACTAGTAGTGATATTGCTGGATCAAAGAGTATGTACAGTTTAGCGATTTTGAGTATTGAGTTCCCTATTGCTTTCTACAATGGTTGGACCAGTTCACAGCTCCACAACGTATTGTAATTTGCCTTTTTTCACTCAATATTTTGTCCTTGTCCCTTTTTTTTTGGTCATCTTTGCCTAGCTGATAGTTGTGAGATGGAACCTCAGAGTTGCTTTGATTTGCATTTTTCTAATTAGTTGTGTCCTGCTTCAGCCACTTAATAGCTGTGTGACCCTAGGCAAGTTGCTTTATGTCTCTTCCACCTATTTTCTCATCTGTAAAATAGGGATGATTAAAAAAAATAATAGAATTGTGAGGATCAAGTTCATTGAGATAAGATATGTAAATCACTTTTAAAAACATTCAAGCACTCTAAGTGCTAGTTATTATATTAGTAGTGATTCAGAACATTTTTTTTTAATATGACTTCAGGTAGCTTGAATTTTGTCCTTTGAAAACTTCTTGTTTAGAGAGTTAATTTCTTGTACATAGCCACATAAGCCAAATTCCTGATCTTTCTGTGGAAGGCTGTCCTTTGCTACTGTCCTTTGCTTTGTTTTTGTTTATTTTTTGGGGAATGTATTGTCTTTATATATAAGATGTTCTGAATTCTCTCAGTAAGCAGGTGTCTATGTTTTCTCAGAGTATTAGGGATGAGTTACATTGAGTAATTCACATTCCTTTCTGTGACCAAAGTCTCCAACTTTGATAGTTACTAGACAAGTTTGGATGCAGTTGCCTATATGGGAATCAAATACTTGACCTTATCTTCATTAACACAATGTTGCAGTTAACTGTCAAGTGACTCAGGTGTCATTTTTGAAATGACTTGTTGAATATACTTTTAATAAAAATAATATTACTATGTAATAATATTATATAATTTATAATTTTATATAATAAATAATCACAGCTATGCTTTATATATCACTTTTCCATCTTGCAAAACAACTTAAATAATAATTATCTCACTTGAATGGCACAATTCTGTTAGTTCAGTTAAAGAGGAAAAGTGACTTGCACATGGGCACACAGCTAGGTAAGTGTCAGAGGCAGGATTTGAACCCAGGTCCTAATGACTCCAAGGTCAGTCCTCCTTCCACTATGCCACAATGGTCTTCATAATGCTGTGATGTCCAGATTTCAGTGATGTTAGAAATGTCATGCAGTTCCAGTGCTATTAGATTCAAGTTTGTGTTCTTTGGTAGTAGTGTGGTTGTATAGGTGTATGGGGAGGGGAGGGGAGGGGAGACCAGAGATTTCTAATTTTGTCAATTTGAAGGTACAGAAACCTCTTTAGCTTCTTGATTGAGATAGCTACCTGAGATAAGTTAGTCATCACTTAGAATTAATTTTTTGGTGCAAAAATACTAAATTTTACCAGTGTAGTACTTCTCATATCAATAATAAGGATAATAAATACCATTTAGATAGCATCTACTGTATGCAAGACACTCAGCGCTATCTGATTTGTTCTTTACAACAACCTTGTGAGGTAGGTGCTATTATTATCCCCATTTTGCAATTGAGAAAACTGAGACAGACAGAGGTTGAATGACTTGTCCAAGGTCAAACAGCTTGTAAGTGTCTGACACTTGATGTGAACTTGAATCTTGACTCCAGGCCCAATGCTCTATTCATTATGCCACCTAACTGCCTCATATGGTTGTAATTTTTAATATTTTAGTTTACTTCTCCCCCATCCCATACTTCCCTGCTCAAATTTATTCCTGATGCCAGACAGGTTCTTTTCACTTCCCAGCCTGTGACACATTGCCTGTCCTGCAGAGATGCTTACATTACCACTCCCTCCAGACCTTTTCTTCTTTCCCTTCACTTTCCCAGCAAGGAGAAAGGAAGTGGGGTGGGGTTTGGAGATGGGCACAATGAATGCTTTATGCTGCCCTATACCCTACTTTTCTGTTTGCCCTCTCACTAGAAAGGATAACTTCACCCCTATGTTATTGTGTCCTCCCCACTCCCTCCATCCCCCCCAGTCTCAGTGAAAAAAGCTAAAGACAAAAATGAGCGGAGGGCTGTCATGGGTGGTGGTGGTGGTGGTGGTGACTGTTTCTGCTACATATTCTCTTTCCATGCTGTGTCCGTAGGCACTGGGTGTCAGCCTTACCTGTTGGCGGCTGCACATTTTGTACAAACAGGGCCTCAGATAAAGCAGTTTATCACAAATAGTGTGTGGGTATATTTCCTTGGGTCTGTAAGACTGGTATATGTTATTTTGATAATGAGATGCTAACTAGGTCCACAAAATGTAGGGTCCCATAGATGTGCTTAGATCATTTCTGACCACATCATTTCCCACCAGGAACTTGAATAGAAGATCTTGTTTCCTTGCCACATCTCAGTTCTAGGAGAGGAAAAGGAGTGGCGCCTACAGAGAGGAGAATAAGGGCCATGTGAACTCAAGGCCCCCATGTAGGGTGGTGCTCAATATATTTTAATTTTGCATTTCCTTTGCAATGTAGAAACACTGCAGTGCTTCGGAGAAAAGCCACATTTCAATTAAAAGTACGATTTTGGCAGTCAAAAATCTTTTCTAAATGTTTTTCATTTGTGTAGAAATAAGAACTCTATCTTGTTTCCTTTATGGTAGTTGAATATGGGAGAGAATGGAAAAGAAAATATTGCAATTTAATCCCATTTTTTATTTATGTTGCATTCAGATTAAATGGTCTAAGGTGAAATTAATTAATTGCAAACTAGTTTGTAAAGTTGTAAGTTGTAAAGTTCAAGTGAAAGATGTATTGTTAATCTAAAGTTTTCAGTGTGCTTATTTTGTGTTTTTTGTGTCTGTGTGATTTAAGAGTTAAGGTGCAAAGTTAATGAATTGGAACATCGATTGCAAGGACAAGAAAAAGACATAAAAGGACACATGAATAAATGGCAAGAAACACAGCTCCAACTGGAGAAAACAAAATTGGAGTTAACGGAAAAAGAGAAAGTTTTGAACAAAACTAGGGATGAACTGATGAGATTAACAGCACAATTTGATCAGGCAACTGCCAAGGTACTTCTGGATGGATGGGGTTTATTTTAAAATTTCCACTCGATTCATCATTCTTCTTCAAAAGTATTGTACAGCAAGAGACACTAAGTAAATGTTAGTAATTTCATTGGATAAAGCTGAATTATAGGAAAGCTTTGAAAGCCTCAGGACATGTGAGGTTTTAGTTTTTCGACTCACATGAAATTAAACTGCTCAGCTGATCTTCCAGTGTTTCATAGACATCGTAAAATCTTAGAATTAGAAGGAAACCTTGAGGTTAACCTAGTCAACCTTCCCACCTGTCTCCTCTTTAGTAGTTTAGTGTGAATATATGTTTTCTTCTTGAATATGTCTATTGATTTTTGCCCTTAATAAATGAATTTTTATTTTGTTAATTTTGATTAGAATTAGCTTCCACAAGAAGGGTGCCCAAGTTGATGAAGGGCATTGAGATAATTCCATTGAAGGACTTAGGAATGCTTAGTCTGGAGAAGAGAACATGATAGGTATCTTGAGTTAATTGGATTATCACTTAGAAGAGCTATTAGGTTTGTTTTACTTGACACTAGATAGCAGAATAAGCAATGGTTGTCAATTTCAGAGGGACTCTTTTCAGTTGAATGTAAGGAAGAACTTTAACAATTAGAACTCTCTGGAGGTCCTGGGTTCCAAAGATTTTTATTAAAGGATGGATAAACACTTCTTTGTGATGTTGAAAAGGGGATTCTTGTTAAAATATGGGTTGGACTCAATAGTCCATGAACTCTTTTTCATCTCTGTATTTCTGTAATAAGGTAGTGAAGACTTGATAACTGAATGAGAGTAGGTGAAAGATAAGAGAATCGATGATGACCGAGGTTAGGAAGTTGGATGACTTTTGAGCATGCCTGATGATACCTACAACAGAAATTAGAAACCTCGGTGACCAGTTATGGTGGTATGTCTAACAGCAAAATTAATATTTGGAGGACCAAATTTGGTGCTGGAGTAGAGAAGATCTAGTCTGTTTTAGACATGTTGAATTTGAGGTCTTGGTGAGATGTTCAACAGTGAGTTGACATGGTATTGATGCTTTGGAGAGAGATTAGGGCTGGATATATAGTTTTGGGAGTTATTTGTGTAGATATGATAACTGAACATATGGAAACAGATGATTGAGACTGAGAAGAACAGAGGACCAGGACTGTATCTTGGGAGATACCAAGGAGGGGATGATGAGGGGAATGATGATCCAGCAGATGAAACTGAGAAGGCTTGGTCATCACTGGTAGGAGGAGAGCCAGAATAGAATATAGGATCCCAGGATTATTATAGATAGAAAGCAGAAAGAGACCTTTGAGGCCACCTATTCTAACCTTATTTTACGGATGAGGAAACAAACTCACAGATGTTAAATGACTTGTCTGAGGTCACTTAATAAGTGTAAGAGGCAGGATTTTGAACCCAGGTCTCTAGTGGTGGAAGGGTTATAGAGTGGGGTAGGGATAGTATCCAGTAAGTAGAAAAGCTGGAAAGATCTCAAAGTAGATAAGGGCTGGCAAAAGACCATCTGTTTTAGCATTTAAGAAATCATTGGTAAGCTTTGAGAGAGTAATTTCAGTAGTGGAGGAAGGGGTTTTGTTAAGCAAGATTACAGGGAGATGAGAAATGGGTGATGAAGTTAGGGAGTATAGAGAGTTCTTTCCAGTTAATTGATAGTGAAAAGTGATGATATTTCAGGGCATGGTGGGGTCATTTTAAGGATATGGGAGCTGAGAGGTTTGTTGTTATCAAGGATGAATCCTGTACATAGGGAGATAGTGAAGATGGCAACTGGGTTACCCTTTGGATAGAGTACTGGACCTGGGATCAGAAAGACCTAAGTTCACATGTAGCCTCAGACACTTACTAGCTGTGTGACACTGGGCAAGTCTTAACTTCTGTCTTGATTTCCTTGTCTATAAAATGGGCATAATAATGTCACTTCCAGAATCATTGTGAAGATGAAAGGACATAATTATAAAGTGCTTTACAAACTTTAGAGCACTGTATAAATGTTAGCTATGTAAGATGAGAGAGGAAATGATCAGTGGAAGGAAAGGAGACCCTGTATAAATCAACTTGGGAAGCTGTTTTTAAAATCCTCTATAATATATGAAATTACCATATTAGACTATTGCTAAAATATCAGACTCAAAATTTAAAAGGAAGTAAAGGAGCCCCCATATAAATTAACTTAGAAGCTCTTTGGTGCCGTTACCCCTTTTTATCTTCTTTCTCTGATGCACTCTGCAGTAGGAGTGTCCTGAAAAAATACATTTTGCGTAAATGTAGATTTTCACTTGGTTTGCTTAACAAACTAGAATACTGTACACTTTGGTTTATATTGATTTGTTAACTGACATTGAAATTCTTTATTTTGGATTAAATGACAGTTATTTTAGGTTTTTGTTTTCTTTTTTGTTTTCTTTTTTTAAGGCAATTGGGATTAAGTGACTTGCCCAGGGTCACATAGCTAGTAAGTGTCAAGTGTTTGGTCTGAGGCTGGATCTGAACTTAGGTCCTCCTGACTTCAGGGCCACTGCTCTATCCGCTGTGCCCCCTAGCTGCCCCTTAGGTTTTTCTTTTAGGTTAACTACAGACAGTTTCTGCTTTATATAAATTCATACTGTGCAAATTTGACTTTACATAAAGAATTTTGAAAGAAATTCTCATTCCCAAACCCTGTATTAACTATACTATACAGTACTGTGCTCTCTCCACTTCTGTCCCTCAGTTTGATGCACATTGGCCTCCCCCCCACAAAAGAAAAGCCCTAAAAATCTCATTTAAAAATCCCTCCAAGTGAAAGCTGAACAGACAGGTGGAGAGACCACCACCACCGAATCTGGGGCTTGGAGTGAGACTTCCAGCACTGAGAGAGGGCACCGTTGTCCCTCTCTACGGGTCTGTTTTTGTTCGTACATGTTTGGGTACCTACCACATGTCTGTTCCTGGCCCCTGCACCTCACTCATCCTTTCCTGTTTGTGTCTATGGCTGGCTGTGGTCCCCTGAGTGTTCCTTCTCCTGCTCCTGCTTCTCTGCCCCTGGCCACCACATGTCCTTGAACCGTGTGCGGGTTCCCTCTCTTCATGGGTACAGCTTCCTTCCTGCCTGCTTTCTGCTATGCCTGTGGGCAAATTTGCATTGCATAAAATCGTTTTTACAAAGACGTCTGTTTAACTGTCCACTTAGGTAAAGCAAGAAATGTCTGTATTTTATTTCATATTTCATGTTGTGTCTTCCACAACTCAGGACAAATTATTATTACCAAGAAAAGGAAACCCAATTGAAAAAAACACACTTTTCTCTATTTGATTTAGTTGAAGTTTTTATATTTTAGTGAATTATTTCATTTATTGGTAGTGTAAAACACTGGAGCAAAAGTTGAAAAAAATGTCTGAAGATTTGAGTTGCCAAAGACAAAATTCAGAAAGTACCCGATGCTCTTTGGAACAGAAGATCAAGGACAAAGAGAAGGTCTATCAGGAGGTAAGAAAAAAAGAACAATCTATTTACTATTCTTGGTGCATTTGTACATGGAGGGAGGTTTATAATTTTGAGCAGCTCTCTGGAATACATTCTGGTTTTAGTGGTCATGGCACTTTTAAGGCATGAGATTTCGGGAAAAAATTGAAGTCAACATGGTGTGATATGATAAGTGGAGAAATGGTTTTGTGATTCCAGTCAGCTCTTTATCATTTTTATGCTCATGTTCATTTTTTCACATCTTTCACAGAGTAGTTTGTAGAATAGGCAAGCAAAAATCCTTTCTATTTGTTGTTTTCAGTCTCTTTGGAGAGTTGTTAGAAGATAAGAAAAACCAGTGTTGCCTTTTTGAATCACGATTAACTGTATGGCCTGCCGGGAGATAAATTGTATTACATTTCCCAGCTTTTGTAGCTTGGAGTTTGCATAGCACATGGGGATTATTAAAGGAAAGGGCAGGTCAGACTTTTATGATAAGGAGAGTTGACAGTTTGCTTCTTTTAAGTTAAATTTGTGCATTAACATAATTTGTTTCTTTGTGATATAACCAGTATAAATGTTCATCTGTGATTATTCTGGTTATCAGAGTGGATTGGTAGCTCTTACAACTTCTACTTTTCTGAACTTTTTGAATAGTTTCTTGTTTACTTCTATCTTCAGTTTATATGTAATCTCACCATGTATCTACTCCTGCCATTGATTCAGATGGATCCATGTTCTCTCATTTTGTTCCACTCTTATTCATGTTCTCCCATAAATTTTCACTGGGCATCTATCAGTTGTGCTGGGAATTTTCATATAGGTCTCTTAACATACATGGATGCCACAATGTATGTTGAATTATGCATCACTTTATCCTTTGTTTTCATTGCATCATTAGCTCTTTTTTTCCCTTTATTGTTCCTCTTATCTTTTATGATGCATATTACTCAACTTCTTGTATGTTGGCTAAAGTCACTCTGTTGCTGTTGCTATCTGTAATTTATTCACTCTTTCTGCAAGTCTGTTGTTTGGGGTGTTCAAGAAGCAAACAATCCCTTAGGTTTGATTTTCTTTTTGAAAATGTTTCAAATTCTTCTTTATTATTGAATATTCCTTTTTTTATCTTGTATAGTTAAGCTCAGATTTATGGGATAAAAAGCTCTAATTCTTCTTCGCACAATTATTCCATTCCTTCATTTTTTCTAGAATAATATTGCGTTATTTAAGTATTGTTTCCTTTGTATTTGATCTTTTTCTTGATGCCTTGTGGAACTTGTTTCTTCATTGAATCATTAAATTTAACCACTGTGGGTCTTGGAGTTTGCAGCTGTGGGTTTTTTTTTTTTTTCTAGAGGCTATCTGTGAATTCTTTCAGTTGAAATTTCATTTTCTATGTTCAGAAGTTCTGGGCAGTGCTCTTCTATCATTTCCTTCATTATGGTGTTAAGGTTTTTTATCCTGTAGTGTTCTTCTGGAAGATCTATGAGCCTTATGTTGTTTCTATTGTCTGTCTTCAATATCTATGTATTTTGCTTGCATAGTGAACATGTTTTTCAATCTTTTTGTCTGCTCTTTTGTTTCTTTGGTGAGGTCTGTCATTACAGATTCAAATTTTTTGATTCTGTTCATTATTTTTGCTGAGCAGGACATAAATTCTGTTCTCATAATTCTTATTTCTCTTTTAAACTACTCAAGAGCAGCATATTGTAAATCCACGTTCTCCTCAAATTCCATGGGGTCCTCTGTCTCATATAATGTTGGATCATTTTCCTTCATTTCTCGCTGTATTTATAGATGCCTGTTTTTTTTTTTGTTTTGTTTTGTTTTTGTTTTTTAACTAGATCTGGATGCCGTATTTCCTTCTGTTACTGTTTTTCTTGTGATTTTTCTGTTTATGTTCTGTTTCTGTTTGAGATTTCTTCTTCCTGAAATCTTTGGTATTTTCAGTTGTCTACTCTCACCCCCTTTCATTTTCCTTACTATTCACTTCCTGATTCCCTGCCTTCTGATTGTGGTTTCCTTGGGGATGGATCTCAAAGCTTCTTAGTTTTTAGCCACAATGGGCAATTCAAAGTTCTCTGTTCCAGCTGACTTTTGAGTGGTCCAAACTGGCTCCAGCTGGATACTAGGCTCTTTTCTCAGGCTTGGTGGAGTGCTGCACAGCATTCTACAGGCAGAGTGTCCTGTCTTAGTAACCTGTCCCATTTCTTCTGTTCCTAAGTTCTCTGGAAGTTCAAAGCATTGCAGTACTGGTACTTCTGGGTTGCAATCCCCAATCAGGTTTTTGCTTCTGAAGGACTATGGCCACATGTTGGTTGTTGATGTCTAAGCAACTGGCCTTTCAGTTCCTCATGTGATAATCCATCTTCCATTTTTGCCTTTGTACATAGTGTCTCCAGTGCCTGAAATACATTTATTATTCCCTTCCACCTCTTAGAATCTCTAGTTTTCTTCAAAGTTTAACTTCATGCATATGATTATCAATTTCTCTTTCTCCTAACCCGATACATGACTTTGCGCTTTTTTGTATATGTTGGCATGTGTACATGTTTCCTCTGGTTGTCTTTTATATTCAGCATCTAGCATGATAAATGCTTATTGATTGTTTCTGTTTGAACTTAATGCTGGACATCATCTTCTGTGACGATAACCTAAACCTTTGATGAGCAAACATTTCATTTTATGTCTCGTTTGTTAACAACCAGGATTGTGAATAAATTTGTTCTGTTTCATCTTTGAATTAATCCTGTGTAATCGTAATGTGCATGGAAAGAGGAGTCCTTAATGTTTATTTATTTATTTTTGACTTTTTGGTGAGGCAGTCTGGGTTAAATGACTTGCCCAATAAGTATCAAGTGTCTGAGGCCGGGTTTGAACTCAGGTCCGAACTCAGGTCCTCCTGACTCCAAGGCTGGAGCTCTATCCACTGTGCCACCTAGCTGCCCCATTCATTTAATGTTATATTTTAGAAATGCCAAATTAAATGTATTTTTTATATTAGATTATAAATATAGCAAGAAGTGTCTTATATTCTTTGAACTTTTTAGTCTGTTATATGACTGTAAAGTTAGCCAACATAGACTGTTTTCATAAGCCTCTCTGTTCTCTCCTCATATTTTTATTAAATGTGCTCTCAATATACATGCTACATATGTGGGTTTTAAAGTCTTATTTCTTCTGGTTGAATAGAATTGTTAATCGTGGCAATCTCAGCTGTATTTATGTATTTGAACTCCTTTTTTGCACACTGTTTCAAATAGAAAAGAAAATTAAATTAATATTCTAGTAGAGGGCTAACAGACTACTTTGAATCTAGATTACTGTCTATATAGTATTACTACTTGTCTACTCCCTACCTAAACAGACCTGGATTTGATTACCAGAACCAGTACTAGTGTTAATTATATTTTCTTATAAAATTGATAGGAAGTCTGGCTCCCTATTGTCTACAGCTCTTTCAGTGTACTGACTGAATAATTTTTTATTTAACTCCCTCTTCTTCTGAACAATAGCTATTATTTATTTATTTTTGTTCTCTTAATTTTTAGGAACTCTCTCATCAACAGCGTACCCTCCGGATGCTGGACCAGGAAAGTGCTCAGATAAAAGCCAAACTAAACCAAGAGTTACAGCAAGCCAAAAGCACTCAAAACATATTGCAAGCTGAACTTGATAAAGTAAGTTGATGTTCATATTTCTCTATCTCACTACAACCCCATTTCTGTACCCTAACCTTTAAAAAAAAAAACTGTTCATACCTTGAACCCATTTAAGAAGATTGTTTTATGCTTTCCTCAACATCTCTTCTTTTTAGTCCAAACAGGAAATGAATTATTTTGGTTTAATCTCTCTGGGACTCAGTTTCTTGTTTTTTTAAAAATTCAATTTTCTTTTCTTTTCTGAATTCTCTTCCTTCTCTTTCCTTACCCATTGAGAAGGCAAGAAAAACAAAACTCATTACAAATAGGTATAGTCACGCAGAACATTATTTCATTAGCCATGTCCAAAATAAGAAAATAGAAAAATAAAGGAGGATAGGAAAATATGCTTCAATCTGCACTCTTGAGTCCATTAGTTTTCTATCTGGAGGTGGATATCATTCTTATTTAATCCCTTCTGTTTGCTCATTTATGTTTCTCTATACTCGTTTTTGTATTTTGAAGTGTACCATTTGTTCTCCAGGATTATACTTTGCTTTTTAGGGCAGCTTATCATTGGTTATAAGCATTTATCTTTTGCCTTTTGGAGGCAAGCTTTCCTTATTTTCATAGTGGTAGCTGACAAATCTTGTGTGATCTTGAGTGGGGCCCCTTGATACTTGAACTCTTTAGGTGCTACTTTTTGGTGATTGTGTTTTCAATTTATGGTTCTTTCCATGAAAGCAGGGGAAAAGGATATATATATATATATATATATATATATATATATATATATATATATAAGTGCTCTTTACAAATATTACAGATGAGGGATTCTATTTTCCTTTTTTCTCTCTTTTAAACATATTTTGTTATACATTTTCTTCAGGTAAGTATTTTCTCCCTCTCACCTTTTCAGCCCCCTCCCCCAAATGAATAAACAAAACCTTAGTAACAAATACTCATGGTTAGGCAAAACACATTCCTGCATTAGTCATGTCTAAAAATGAATCTACACATCTTGAGGCCCACCTCTCTGTCAGGAGGTAGATATTTGCTTCATCATCAATTATCTGGACTCCTGGTTGTTTTTTGCAGTGGCCAGACTTCTTAAGTCTTTCAGAGTTATTTTTCTTGGGACATTTTTTAAAATTATATAATTCTGCTCACTTTACTCTGCATCAGTTCATATTAGTCTTCCCCAGTGTCAGCATAATAGTATTGCATTACATTCATTTACCACAGTTTATTTAGCCATTTCTCTGTTGATGGGCATCTCCTGCCAATTATTTATTAAGACAAAAAGAGGTGCTATAAATATTTTATGTTATACATAGATCCTTTTCCTCTTTCTTTGATCACATTGGGAATCTAGTCCTAATGTTGTTATACCTAGATTAGTACAGTGTAGCAATTTTTGTAGCTTTCTGGTTCTAAAAGGCCTCTTTGGTTTTCTGTCATGATTTCTTGAAATATAGTATCCCTTCTCTTGGTCTTGCCTTTTTAGTAATCTGATCCTTATGTTTTTTAACCTGTTATCCAGGTCTATTATTTATGATAAGGGTTATTTTATACTTCCAATTTTTCAGTGTTTTAAATTTGTTTTAATATTTCTTATTGTTTTGTAGAATCATTAACATTTGTTTGTCTATTCTGATTTTCAGAGTCTGTTACTTGGATAAGGTTTTGCAAATCTTGTACCAAGGAGTTAATTCTTCTTTCAAGTTTTACTAGTATTCTCATTTCTTTTGTAATTCTTCTTTGCTTCTAATTTAAGTTAAAATATGATTTTAAACTCTTTCTCCATTTCTTCCAGGAGTTCTAATTGACCTTGTGACCAGACTGTTGGTTTTTTTTTCCTTTCTTTTCCTTTCCTTTCCTTTTTCTTTCTTTCTTTCTTTTTTTTTTTGGTGATATCTCTTGCAGATGTTGTGGAGTTATTTGCTTCCTCTGGATTTTTTTTGTCTTGGTTATCCAGGGCTCCATAATACTCCTATCATCAATGTCATTTTTTATTTGGGACTTTTTTTGGTGGTAGGCTCAGCCTCTGCACATTTCTGGAGGGAACGTTTAGGCCTTATGTGGTTGTGATTTTTATTATCTGAAGTACTGCCAGTGCTTTCTCTGGGTACTGAGTGTTTTTTTTCCCCAATGGTCAGTCAGAAATCAACAAGTATTAATTAGCCCCCTACTATATGGCAAGCACTATAGGTGCTTGGTATACAAGTACAAGGAATGAAATAATTCTTGCTCAGTGTGTTTACATTTTATCAATGCATATAATAAGTATACATAAAACATAAAGAATAAATAAAAAGCTAATATATGTAACACAAAGTAATCAAATACAAGGTAATTTGAGAGGGAAGGCTAATTTTTGTGTGGAGATTAGAATGGATTTCAGAAAATGGTGCTTGAGCTATAAATTGAAGAAAGAGAAGGATTATATGAAGTTGAGATAATGAGGGATTGAATTCTAGGCATAGGGGTTTGGCCATTGCAGAAATCCTGTAGACAGATGTAGTATGAAGTATAAGGTACAGAGAAGGCTATGCTGGCAGGATCCAAGAGTGTGGGATAATAACAATAATTATAATAATACTACCACTAATAACTTTTATATATATAATGCTTGCCATGTGCCAGGCTCTATGTTAAGTGATTTACTCTTTTCTCATTTGATATTATTATCTCATTTGAGGTAGAGTAATATATAATGAGATATATAATTATAAAGATAATTGAGAAGGGCTTTAAAAGCTAAACATGGGTGTTTCTCTTTTATCTTAAGAGACAAAAGGGAGCCAATGGATTTGATTGAGTAAGGAAATGACATGGTCAAATAGAACTTAAAGCAAATTACTTTTTTAGCATTATTCAGCATGAAGTGGAGTCAGGGGAGACTTGAGGTGGAGAGACCAACTATGAGGCTTTTAAAATAATCTAGGCAAGAGGTGTCAAGGGATCTATGTGTCAAGCTAGAGGGTTGGATGTGAGGAGTATTTATTGTATAACCATATAAATTATACTATTGTATAATAGATGTTTAAACAGAAAGATTTGACAGATGATTAGATTTCAGGAATGAGGTAGAATAAGGTGAGCTTTAGTTGTTTTTGTGGGAAATTGATTCTTCTTTTTTTTTTTTTTTTGATGAGGCAGTTGGGTTTAAGTGACTTGCTCAGAGTCACACAGCTAGGTAAGTGTTATGTGTCTGAGGTCGGATTTGAACTCAGGTCCTTCTGACTCCAGGGCTGGTGCTCTGTCCACTTCGCCACCTAACTTCCCTTGTAGGAGTTTGCTTCTTAAATTATATAACTCTTAGGTGTGTTTTCTAGATCAGTTTTTTATAGTGGATACCTTACCTTTTAATATATATATTTTTAGTCTTAATTTTTTTTCTAATTACTTGTTCTGTGGAGTAATTTTTTTTTCTTGATTATTTTTTCAGGAGTTCACTACTTAGGTAAGGTTTTCCACCTTGTGTAGTAAACTGTTCTTCTTTCATTATTTTCATGTGGTGCTCAGATTTCCTCTTAAAAATGTATTGCTTCATTTCTTCAGGCCATTTGTGGCTAAACATTGTTTTTCTCTAAGCTTTACTTACACTTGTGGAGTTAGTCTGTTCTCTGGGTTCACCTCTTGGGCTTTTTTTAAACCCATAGTATTTCCTATTTCCTTTTAGTGTTTTCTTCTATTCACTCATATTTCTAGCCTGTTTCTGGATTGGGTTTTTGTGTTAGGGCCAGACTTCCCTTTCTCATGTAATTTTGGATGGTATGGGTAGGCCTTGTGTGGTTCTGACCCCTCATCTTTGAGGCTGCTGACATGCTGGGTGGGGTAAGTGGTATCTGCTGGAATCCTTTGCTTCTGGGGTTGTCTCCCAGGTGATCTCAGTGTAGCTTTTAACATTGGCCTATTCTGTCTTTTTCTTGTTCTGTCACCAACCAAAGGTTTTTTCCATTCCTTGTTGTGCCCTTGACATAGCACTTTTTGTAGGCTTCTTGTAAGATCCTGTGTAAGTCCCTCCTTCCCTCAACTTACTCCTGGCTTCCTGTGCTGGACCTGTTTCTTGTGGTTGTTTTGATAGGACCACTGATTTCTGGCCTCTTAGAGTACACTGGTGTTGGGGCTGTCTAAGCTGTGCAGGCTTTGTCTCTTTCTTTGACTCTGGTGCAACACTGGCTTTAAATCTCTTAGAAGACCCCCGATGTATGTGTATGGCCTAGCCTCGTTTTCCTTTGTTCATTGATCTTTGAATGTTGGCCCTGTGTCTTGTTGCTTTTGACTGGTCAGGGTGAGATTCCATAGGCTGTAGTCCTTAGATAAAGATACTGATTTTCCTTCCTTCCTTGACTTGTTTCTATTCAGAATACCTGTATTTATTCTCTTTATTCAATTTTTCTTGGTTGTAATCCATCTTTTAAATTGTTGCCAAAATAATCTTCCTAATGCATCTGACCATCTTAATATCTTTCCCATAAACAAAATTAATGCATTTAGGATAATAAGGGGAAGTGGTCACATGTGGGAAAAAAAATCTTCATATCAAATTTCTCTGATAAGGGCAGTGTTAGGTTTCCAAGATATACACGGTACGTACACACACACACACACACACACACGTGCATGCATCATTTTTCATTAGAGAAGTAAGTAAAGGATATGAACAAATAGTTCTTAGAATTGCAAACTCTGAGCAGTCATATGAAAGAATGCTCTAATCACTAGTAATAAGAGAAGTGATAATCATCAATACCGTGAGGTTTCACCTCATGTTTAATTCTTATTTTTGTCTTTGTGGTTCTTTCTATTTCCATTGTTGTAGTTAATTTATATATTTTCTTTTGACTCTGTTTCACTCTGCATGAGATTATTTAAATTGCAGTTTGTTTAGCTATTCTCTAATTGATGGACATCTATTTATCTATTTGCTGCCACAAAAAATGCTACTAGCACTGTTATGGGGATTTTGCCTTTTAAAGTGAACTCCTTACCCCAGTAAATTTCTAACAGTGGACTAAGTAGAGCCAGTGATAAAGGAAATCACAAAGGAAATAGCAATAAGCCTCTCCATTTAGTCCAGGACTGAAAAAAATATTGTCAGAATCTTTTGGAAGTCCTGATCATAAAATGAGCCAGGGTAGGTGTAAGGCAAAGGGTGCATTTAAATACCAAGGAAGGAGTCAGGGCCAGACTAGTGTCCAGACAGTCCTGCCTGAGGTAGTAGAGTACCCAGCCAGACCAGACTCAAGCCCCTTCTGTCATTGGTGAATTATTCTTGGAACCTTCATTCTAAGGAAGGGCCCAGGCCAGCTAACCTTTATTCCTCTCCTAATTCTACATCTGACCCTTACTTTGTCACCATGTGGATATTTTCTCCTCCAACTCCTTTTCAGCTGCCTTTTATGTGCTGCGTTTCCCCCATTAAAATTTAAGCTCTTTGAAGGTAGATATTGTCTTTATTTTTGCTTGTATTTCTATTCTAGTGCTTATTACAGGGCCTGGCACGTAGAAAGTGCTTAGTAAATGCTTATTGATTTCACTCTACCCAAGCCATCAGAGAAGGTAGTGTCAAGTCAGCACCTGGGCTCATCTAGAGAGATGCCTGTTACTGGCATACCCAACAACATCTGTTGTGGAGTTGTCAGGCTCAGAGCAAGGAACAGCGTTAACTCGGGCTTCAGAGCTTTGTAAAGAGGAGAGGGAGAAAAGAGATAAAGGCAAAACCACCAGGTGACTGAGCCAAAAATCCTGGAATTTCTGAAGATGAGAGGACCTAGTCATAACATTTATATCCAAGACCAAGCAAGGCCTGCCCACACCATCCAAGGGTATGGAAGGATGGAAGGGAACAATTTCTGATCCAGTCACAGAGCCCCAGTAAAGAAACTGAGGTTGGAGATAGGGATTCTGATCTGTCAGAAGAAACCCAATTAGGGCTTCAGAAAAAAAAATACCCAGGCTATAAGACTTAAAAGAAGAAATGAAATGACATTAAATGTAATTAATGACATTAAAAATGTAATATTAAAGGAAACGAGCCAAGCAGCAAAGAACAACAAGGAATATTAATAGCTGAGTCAGTGAATAAACTTCTCAGTGACTTCATAATCCAGAGCATTTAGGTCTACAAAAAAATTGTTACAAGTTGCCAAAGAGATTTCAAGGATGAACGAACTTAGTCAAGATCACAGAAGAATTGTCAGCTGTCAGAATAGCTTAGAATACAGTATTCTAAAAGGCAAAAGATAAAGGCATATTATAATCAAGAGGAAAACTGCATATAGTCCTAAGGGGAATAAGATGGATCACTAATGAAATACAAGACTTCTAGGTATTTCTGATGAAAAGGCCAGAACTGAGTATAAATTTCAAAATGTAAAAAATAAGAGACCCGGAGAATAGTAAATACATTTGATCAGCTGGAAGAAACTGTAAGATGATGATTGTTTTTATTCTTAATAGGGCAATCAGAAACAAGTTTGCTCCCAGAATTCTAATGTCTTCAGGTTATTGAGAAAGTTAAGTAAGACAGGCAAAGTGCCTTTGTGTGGTTTTGTTCTCCCTTAATGGTCTTAGGAGCAGAAGGAGAGAGAAGGAAAGAAGAATATATTAAGAGGAAAGAAAGAAGGGGAAGGAACTCACTTTTTCACAAGGTTAGGGTACAGACATGGTTCCATGGGGTAAAAATGGCATCAGATGAACCCAACAGATGAAGGGAGAACACATCTTTCCACACAAAGCATGGTATATAAATTCATTAAACTCAACAGGGAAATAGGTGAGAGACATGGACGGGGGGGCACAGTAGGTGAGGAAGTAAAAACGAACTCCGTCTTTTAAATGTGCAGAATAAAGGGTGGAATAAAAGGAAAGAAAGTATCAACCTATGAGGAAGGCTGGTTATTGAATTCTAGTTTTCAAAGAATTGAAATTGAGAATTAACTAGAAGATCTTGGAGAAGCAAGTGCTGGGTGTGTGCAGGTTGCAGAATGTTAGAAATGAAGAATTGAGTAAGAGAAATATAGTGTAAAGGAAGTCAGTATTATAAGTCCTGGGAAAAAAGATGAGCTGGGACAGTCTGGGAATGAGATATAGATCCATAGAAAAACTTTAAAGAAGTAAATTTCCTATTTTAATTTTTACACTTGTAAATATTATTGAATATGTGAACTCAATATGAAATATGTGATATATTTGAGTTTAAAAAACTTCCTAGGAATGAATACTGTTTAGAAATGAAATGAGTTGCTCCTGGAGATAGTAGGTTTCAGCCCCTTAGAGGTCTTCATCAGACCCTATATGACCATTGTTGTTAATGTCATTGTTCAGGTACAGCCTAGACTAAGTGGATTTTAAGGTCCCTTCTAACTTTTAGGTTTACCCATTTTGTTGTTATGGTAAATTCATGCTTTCTAAGGTAATTGTTTTTCTTGCAGCCACTCAAGAATAAATATAGAAAATAAAATCATATTACATGTATTATTTGTCAGGAAGGAAGGAAAAAAATAGAATATGCTCTTGTCTAGGTGGTAGCAGTGAAACAGCAGCTGGAGAGGAATTCAGACGAGTTTAAGCAGAAGCTCTGCAGAACTGAACAAGCATTGCAGGCAAGTCAGACAAAGGAAAATGAACTGAGGAGGAGCATGGAGGTAAGCGAGAAGTAACTATCATAATGCATCATCTAGCTGACCCCTGGGGTCAATGATGGGTATTTGCGTGCAGCTGTATTTGTAGGGGGCAGCATTTTTTTTTTTTTTTTTTTTTCAGATTTATTTTCTGCTTATCTTAGAACTGTGGGTCTGTGTTTTCAGGCAAAAAGTAGCACAATAAGTTTACCAAACATGTATTCATCCCATGAATTATAACTTGAAAAAATTACTAATGTTACTATAGAAATTATAGAAATATGTAAGTTGCATCAAAAGAGCGTAACTTTTGTTTATATTAAGTACATGACCTTTTGAGGAGGGAGGTAAAAAGAAAGTTTGTAAGTATAAAGGATAAAAACTCATACAAAGTAACAGAAATTCCAACAACTCTTATTTCAGTTGTCAAATAGAATAACCATGTTATTGAGTTGCTTTTCAAAGTCCCTTTACTGTTCAAGGCACTCTTTGGATACCACTTCCTTTTTGAAGCCTATGTGGACCCCTCTTGCTACTGAGGGCCTTCTCCTTCTTGAATTACCCTGTACTTATCCATATACCAGCTCTTAAAGAGCAAGGACTGTGTCATTTTGTTTTTGTACAAAGTTTCTTGCATATAGTAGGATTTAATGTTTTATTGAATTCAGTTGAGTAGAAACCTCATAGATGTAAACGGAACATTGGCTTATGTCTGTGAACATGGTTGTTTAGCATGAAATTTCACTGTTAAAAGTTGGTTTAAAATAACCTTATGGTTTGTATAGTTTAGGGATTTAACCTTAATACTCAGTATGAGTACCACTTAACTTTAGTACTCAGTGTAAGTGCCATTCCTCCACTGTCAGCATGGTTTTCTTTATGTTATAATTTTGGTTAGTAGAAAGATTCTTAATGGCAAGTGTATTAGGAACAACTCAGTGTGTTTTTTCTAGGTATGATTTTCTACTGACATACTTTAATTGATAACTCATTGGTTTTATATGGTAGACCTGGGAGTTTTATTTTGTGACTTTAGTCATTTGGAGGCAGTTAATACACTGATGCTATTTGAAGAGAACTGTGAATCAGTATTGAAATTGTTGAAACATAATTTTGCAAGAAAGCAATAGCAAAAGAATGGCACTTTTCTCTATTAAAGAACTTCTGGCAGCTTCATGGCACAGTGGATAGACCTGTGGGCCTGGAGTCAAGAAGACCTGAGTTCAAATGTGCTCTCAGACACTCATTAACTATGTGACTCTGGATGAGTCACACTTTGCCTCTGTTTGCCTCAGTTTCTTCATCTTTAAAATGGTGATAACAATTATAAAGCACTTTGACCAGGGCCTGGCACATAGTAAGTGCCATGTAAATGTTAGCCATTATTATTGGCTATTAAATAATTTTGAAGAGGATTCAGTTTCCTAACTAAACTAAATGTTAGTTCGGGTACTTCGTTTTAGCAAGCTAAGATTTTCCCTTACTTTAATGAATTATTAATTGTTGAGAATATATGGAATTTTAAAGCTATGAAATATGCATCTTAAAGAAAACCCTGAAATCTTTGTGTCCAAGAAATATAATGTTAGGTTAGAACTAAATGGTTTCTGAAGAGTGTTCTGTATGGAGAAGTAAGTGAAAAGCTGCCAAAGTCAAAGTAGAGAAAACTTCAAATCAAATGTTGGTTTCATTAGCAAACATTTTGAAATGGAAGTGTTTGTTTCAGGAAAACAAATATTTGCCTTTTGGCCAGGGAGATCTTTTAACAGATGCTTCTGCTGACATAGCCACAGGCGGCCTGGCACCGAACAGTGTCCTCTGTGAGCTGTATTTTGAGCCCATCGTCATATGATATTACTGGCTGTTGGTGAAAACATTTTGTAAAAACGATCGATTGATTAGGATGGTTAAAACACTTATAAAATTTGTCTGCTTCGCCAAATCATGGTGGCAGTCTAGGCATTCTTACAGTTTTTTTTTTTAGATTCTTTTTTGCATCTTAACTTGCCCAACATATGATTTGCTGGTGTAGATAGCTAGCCACAATTATACGCTAGTTTCAGGTGTTTCTAATGTCTAAGAAAAAACTTACCTACAAAACCAAATCCAAATTTTATATGATAATTTAACATTATTTCCTTATACAAGGGAACAGGGTTTGGGGGAGATTGGTGACAGATTAGTTGTACTTCGAATTATGATTTGGAATCGAAAAATGATTTAACAAGTTTTGCTTGTTTGCTTCTTTAACAGCTATTATGCCCCTTGGTTTTTGCTACTATAATGCTAATAATGTTCATTTTTACTGGCAGCAACAAAAAAATTGAGGACAGGAGGCATATTTTATATAGAGTAAATATTTTAAATGCTGAATGTCTTTCTGTCCTTTTGATTTTCTGTCCTTTTGATCTTGATAATTGTATTTAAAATTGTGTCTAATTCTTAGTAAGTGTAAGGTTCAATGCGCTTATGGATTTTTGGATACAGAAATAATACTAAAGTTGTACTGAACATTTTCTTGTCCCCATTTAGTAAATTAATATGGTACTTAACAATGAGAAGTTATCAATACTAGAAATGCAGTTTAGTGGTCTAATCATGGATAAAGTTACCCTGTAGTATCAAATCAGATATACAGAAATAACTATTCAACCAGGCTGCAGTGCCAACTCAGTAGCATTATGATGTAGTGCAGTAAAACGCTATCATGTTGACAATCCAAATCTATGAACATTTGCCTGGGGACTTTTCCAGGCATGGAAATCTGAATGACTAAGTGCTCTGAGGAGTTTGTCTTGGCATGTAAGAATGGGTGAGATATATAGGAAGAAAAATAACCCTTCCAATACCCATTTCCATGATGATGCAGCCTTTCTCCATCAGGAGACATTAAATTTTATTCATGGATGGAGTTGAGAAGTACCAAATAGAAACTAAAATTTGTCTTCTTTAGCCTTAGGAAATGATGCCTCCCTTGTTTCTCCTAAAAATAGTTGAATCTGGGTAGTTTTATTTGCTGAATACTAGTGCTGGCACATAGTTATAGGGATTTTTGTTGTGTTTTTCCAGGATAGTACCCAGTTTTGCAAATTATGTGAGGATGCCTAGGAGAATATACCCTTGTATACTCATCTTATTGTTACTGACAAGCGACCCAATCAAGTCTAAAGTGTCTACAGCCTCACTGAAACTAATTGCTTATGGATGCCAGCCTGAAATTGTGTTTTCAGATGTTCATTTTTGTTAATCTTGCCCTTTTAAAATTCTTGGATTTCATAACAACTTTATATCTTTATTAGACTATTGGTCCCAAAATTAGCCTTATGCTTCTTATAAACAAGAGTTTGATGAGGTAATTCCAGAAGAGAGAGAACTCAAAGTGAAATTATCTTATGAGACTGACTTTTTTTGACAAAACATTTGGGGAAATAGAGATGCAGGTAAAATTCTTTGTGCGTTAATATGTTAGCTTTTCCAAATATATTTACTTCAAAGAGTCTCTCTCTCCTCATCCCTACTGAGACCTTTGGAACAAGTAACATTTGATATATTTGCATTTCAGGATAAAAAATTATTGCACAATATTAATATTTAGTTTATAGTTCAACAAAACTTCAAACTCTATTTAACACCTGGATCATTCATTTATTCTTACTGTTAATCAGAGAGGTCTGGCTAATGTTTAAGTGTTCAGTTGAATAAGGAATATTGACTTTCTCGGTTTAGAGGTGTGTTATTTGTGAAAATTCCTATTATGTAATGATTCAACTATACTTTCCTAATTATTTGTTATAAAATTTTAATTTTTCCCAGAAATATCATCAGCCATGTAATCTTGACAGTCTGAGTTGATACTTTATCCCTAAGATAGCCTGAATTTAATGTAGTGTCATTTTCATGAAATAAGCAATGGGGCTAGGAAACAAATGATCAAAGTTAGATCAGATTTCATTCCAGTAACAAAATTAAAAATATATACTTGAACAGACAGCTTCCAGTAAGTTTCCAAGCACTTTTCCCTAGTCATCCTCTCTTTTCTTGCATTTGGCTTTCCTACATTGGTACCCATCTGCTAGTAGTAACTAGGCTGATAATTGAAGGCAGTTTTCCAACATAGCATTGCCAGCACCATCTGTTATCTAATAGTGTAGCAGGGTGTTGGGGGGAGGGCAGTACTTGTATTTTTTTTAAAGAATCATTTTCATTTCATTTTTTGAGTACAGTCTTGGTGAGACATTTAAAGTACAGTTGCTAACAAGATAAAACTTAGTTTAACTGTTTCACAAGTACCTCTCTTATCTTTCCAACTTGATTATAAACTCCTGGAGGGAAGTTGTTGGAGTAAGCAATAAATCTTGGTAACTTTCCCATATTCATGTCCAAACAAACATAAAATAGTGCCCCAAAACAAATCCTAGAACAGCAGGACCAGCAAAAAGACAGGGTGAAACAATCTTTTAGCCAAGAAATTTGGAAGATCTGCAAGGAAAGTCTGTCTCACTTGGGTAAAAGGGGAATGCAGTGTGGGACAGGAAGCATCCCAATAAATCAGCAGTAAGTTGCACCTCAGCAAACCAGGAGTAGATCCTCATCCCCAGTGTGATGGAGTAGGCAAATGCCAACAACAGGACCACCCTCCATGTGCCTTAGCATAGCCAGGGGAACTGGCAGACTCTAGCTCTGATAACCACCATAGGATTCAGCATACTCCCAAGCAAACAGGTAGCTGCTAACCCTACAGGTACCTAAGCAAACAGGTAACTACCAGCATTGGGTCCCCACCACATGCTTCAGCATAGCCCCAGAGAAATATAGAAACACTCCATTGCCCTCAGCACACACCAGACATTAACAGGAGCCCGGCTCAGCACCAGGTAAGCTGCCAAACCCCTATGGCCTCCAGCAGCACCAGCTACTCCCTCAACCGCAGCATCAGCCATGAGGGTCTAAGAGCTACATCAGAGCAGCACCAGGTAAACTACCAGGACCTGCAGCCCTTTCCACCTCGGGAGCAGAGCTCAAAT